TCCCAAATCTTCGAGGGAAAAGCTTTCTTTTGATACCTTGTTTACCATATAGCGTTCAGTTTTCGAAAAATACGGCGGTTGTGAAAAAGCACTTCGACGCCATCTATAAGTTCAGAAATTTCTGGTTCTAGTGGACTTTTGAAAGTGATATATTTGAGTTTATTGCCACCCAATTTTGAAAAAGTAAAACCATACTTCTCTAGAAAAGGTATTTGTCTTTCGTTTTTGTGGAAAAAATGGTTAATATTGTGAGCTTCAGAGGGTGAATTTTGGTTTGAAAAATTAGTAAAAATCTTTGCATTTGATCGTAGGCCATTGAATTTTGGGCTCAAGTTTGAGCTTGTATGGGAACCAAGAAGAAACCTCTTCGGAGGTCTCCTAAATGTTCTGCGAGAAGCCGATTTCCACTCGGTGAGTTGGCAAGGGAAAAATGTAACCTCCGTGATGAATATTTATCAAAATGTAAGAAGTTGTCGGCATTAAAAAAGAGAAATAAGCGTCTTCAAGAAAAGAGTGAGAAAGTACAAGAATGCATGAATCATCTCGTGATAACACCACGTTCAAGTGCATTTGTAATTTCAAAAAACACCTCTACTCACAATGACTCCCAGCTGTTTAAGGACTTATAAAACAACTGTTTTATTTTTCATGCCTTGTAACATTTTCATGAATAAGGAGTTGAGGTAAATGTAAGTTTATATTTAACTGTAACTGATTATATTAAACCCAAAGTTTTCTCTGTTTACATACTGCTCATAACCATAAGGTTCAATTTCATTGATTAAAAAATTATAGAAGTTCTTCCTCATTTAATTCAATCACCTGGAGGAAAAACATTTGGAAGTTAATATAAAAATTCAAATAGAACTATGTATAATTATATAATCTGTATAATACATGGCTGAAAAAACAAAGTCAGCAAAGAGGGGAATGCCCCTACCAAGGAGGGCCTAAAGTATGAAATTGTCATGAGTTAATCCTGATTGTGCATTTTGAGAGGCCTCTTAAGTCTGCTCTTGGCTAAAGTTATACCTCTGCTTGCTTTTAAAATTATCAACTGTAACTTTATGTCATAATATATGAGAAGTTTTCTCTGTCTACATACTTCTTGTAACCATAATAAGTTTATAAGTTTCAGCGCTTATAGTAGTGGTTTGCCTTATTTAAGCTTATATGATCATGTGGAGGCATTATAACATCCAGAAGGAATACTACTATTTGATAGTGTTTTACTATTTCCTTGTTTTACTGGTGTCTTTTCTTTGTGTAGCTCACACCATTTAACACAAAAGTTAAGCAATGCTGGTTTCCAAAATAAACTGGTGATTTCTGTATTTAGTGTTGGCTGATACCAAACGAATTCCAATAGCCATAGTAAAATTTTGCTTGCAAACACTCTGCTTTTGCATTGTAGATCATCACTCCTTTTTTTTCTTGGCTGACAATGAGCTTGACTTGTCCCTTTCCTTCGTCAAGCTGCTTGATAAATCCACCACAGTCCATAAATTTGTCAAACAAATGACATAGTCTTCTCAGACTGAAAAAAGGAATTGTTACAGAACCTGGCTTCTCTTCTACCTCTAAACCATACCTTGTTAGACCAAGAACGTCCTTATGTAAAATGTTAAAAACCTCCTGTGCCATAGAGAGATCAAAAATGACCATCCACGGGTGCACTTTACTCATCCTTGGTGATAGCCGGCGATCAATGGCACATTTCGCCCGAATCATGCAACGCTGTAGCATTGGACACAGTTCGCCAAGTTTATATTTAGGTCGCTCTCGAATTGCTCCAAAGTTTCCTTTCACAGCTAATTCAGCAACCTTGTTTAGCCGGTTGAATGTGATATCTAGATCCCTCAATTTCTGCCCATTCGAAATTCTTCGCTCAAATTCTGACTTGCTATGCTTAAGGGCTTCTTTTATTGAAAATATTAGTTCCTCTTCGGTGGGTTCAGAGCTATCCACCATCTTGGATTTTGGAAAACTTTACCCCAGGTCACGCGCGGCCAAATTGAAAGTTGGCCCAATTTCGAGCAATAATTTCCAAGCGTGTTCAAGGATAACTGGGTTTCAAAACTTGTCATTTAATTCCATATGCTTGTTATTCCGGCCCCTTCATAGTTGCCTCGGAGCATTGCTTCGCTAGAGATACTCATTTAAAGTAACAGATGCGATCACAATACTGCCCGTCTGAATCAAAATATTCCATAATTTGTTTTGTCAGAAAGTGACAAAAAGGTGTATTTTAAGGAGTTTAATCTTCCAAGAAGATTTTGTCGCAAATGTATTAATATTCAAGCGGTAAAAGACATTTTCTGTGTTAACCTAGCCAAAAAGGAAGTTGGAAAGCAGGAAGCTGACGTCGCAACATGCTCTAGTCTAAACACACTATCGACCAATGAGAGCGCGCGTACCGTCTTAAATATTTTACGGTGTTGAATACTCCCTAGAACAATGTTTAATGAAGTGAGGCAGAAAATTGTTTAGCTATGATTATCCAGGTGGTTAACACAGTAAAAACGCGTTTCAACTTATTAGACTTCTACTGGCCACCAACTTGCAACACATTAAAGAAAATGGACACGAAGTCTGACGCCTAGATTACTTGGTCAATCAACCAAGTGCACGCGCCTTAGGGAAGATATCGGTAAACCATCAATTAATGATCAAAACTCACCAAATTTCCAAGCTTTGCTTTGAAAGCGACGCTTGGTGGTCTGACGAAAACATACCATAGGACCATTGTTTCGTCAGCTTACCTGCTTTCAAGAGGTCAAACTCTGTGCCAGATGCTTTAAGGTGGAGGTTGAAACTGCCATTTGATGCGTATCCGACTCTTACCAACATGTAACGTCATTAAATTATTTTTCGTTCACATCGAAATCACACTTTGATCAAGCCTAGTAACAACGCAACTACGGTTTGAAACGCTGCTGAATATTTCTGCAAAGTCAAAGAACTTTTTCAGCAAGCCAAAGAATATTTCCGCAAAGTCAAAGAATATTTCAGCAAAGTCAAAGAATACTTCAGCCAACTCAAAGAAGTTTTCGACAGGAACAAGCTAGAAAATCAACTGAACAAGTCAGCACAAAACGCAGGAAGATTGATATTTGAAACCGTCGAATTCCTGTGGCAAAATAGCAAAATTTCCTCTTCCGTTGGCTAAAAGGAATAGCTCGCTGAGATTTTAATGACTTGTTAGTTACATAATGATATAGAAACCAACCATAGTGGCGAATCAGAAAACTTGTCCAATGTGGACGTGACCTCATCAGATTTTGGGAAAAATTTTCATGTTGGCTATCGCTGTTAATTTAGCCAGCGAGACTCAGAGTGCAAGTATTTTAACCGATACCGTCTGCAAAAATCTGAAAGTCTCCGACGGCGACGATAATGAGAAGGTGGTGAAATATAAGATTTCCTGAATCTGAAAAATCGCTCAGCGTGCGCGTTTAAATACTTTGTAAATATCCGCTTGGTCGGTCTTTTACACAACAACATTGTGAAAGCTCCAAAATTTTCCGTAGTCTGAGAATGGGAGCCCCTTAGGCAAATTATCCACGTTTCTGCTTCGAACTCTACGCTCCCCTCACGTTTTGCTGACAGAAAAGATCTGGCGCCGTTTATAACAGCAAACATATCACGCGCTAAAATACTTGGGAAAAAGGAAAGTTTATCCCAGGCATAGCTGTCGTAACTCCCTAATTAAATCTGTGGCAGAACGTATATAGAAGATTTATTTAAACACATCATTACCTCACGAAACGTTGACGAAATACGGCAACAAGCCCATGCTTGAAGTACAATCACAAATGAACACATCACAGAAAGGTCCAAGGTATACCATGTTAATTTCAAGTCTGATGACGTTCACGACCCCTGTTTCAAATCCTCTTAAATAACCTTGATTAGTAAGTATTGATAAGGCTGGTAAGATCAGGGATTATTATGCAGGGGTCCATTCAACGAGGAACCCCAACAACGCAAATACTGATCCTTTTGATATTTAGATGATTCATTGGGCGCGCCTTTAGAGGCCTTAGGTCATTCCAATCACAAATTACTGTCAAGGCTCTGGTGTGCATCCTTGCTTACAAGAATTTTTACATTTAAGCTTCAAGGAGTCATTGAAAACCATATGAAAACATTGTGCATAAGCGATAACATTTCCCTATGCCTTTTAAATGATTTTCGCGTGCCTTCTACTTATACGTAAAACTTGTACAATATAGGTATGAAAATCGAATTTAGGCTTCGCCTAGATTTTACCATTACAAGAGCCTGAGTATGTGCAGATATGCGTCTAGGTTTTTCTAGGACTTCCGCCATGTATGCCGGTTGTCTATCATTCGGGAAGCTTTTCTTTGTGTGAGAAAATAAAACTGTCATTCTTTCTGCTCGACTGTTTTTTCACAGTGATGAATATTTATTTATCTTTAACCGCAGAATATGACATCTGCGCCTTACAGAAACTACAACATCACTTATATTAGTTTACAGAATATGGACGAGAGCCGAAATACTGTATGTGCTAAAAACAACGTTCTCTGCATGATCAGCGAAACAGGTCACAGATGTCTATTTTAAACTCCCCCTTTTAAATTTCATATCAAGCATTTCACTTTCCTCCCATTTCTTGACTTGTACCAAATAGTATTTCGTACAAAACACCGAGGCTTTTAAGACAGGACAGCCCATCTCGCCACAATTTAGAAGTTGTATTCGGGTGCCAATACTAAAGGCTGATTTGTTTTTTTAGTAACAATCGTTGGGACCTTGTCCACTACTGACTGTCTGCCAAGTTTTGACTTTTATGTAACCGCGATGTTTTTATTGTGGTGTAGTAGAACTAAAGAAAGCGTGACCCTAACGCATTGAAACGTGACCTGTCATCTAAGTTTAAGAATAGATCAATTACAAGGTTATCGAAAAGCGGAAATATGATCCTTGTAACATGCAAAAATATGCAAAGTGTAATATTAACAGAGCAGGATTTACGTAGGTAAATAGGGTAGAACAAAGCATTATGAAATTCTAAAATATTTAACAGTCAATCATCTCCTTTTCCTTAACGGGTTCAACACGAAATTACAATTAAAGCTGTTCAAGGAAGCTGTTCGAGAGATCACCCAAAGCAAGAGTATTTTCATCGTCATGATACTAAGTGTGCTCCTGTTCAAAGTAATTCTTGTTGCTGTCTTAGGCTTTCTGGATAATTGGCACGCGGATGCGTGTTCAGGTTGGTGTGAATTTACGTTCATTCTTATCCGCTGTCAAGAAGAAGAGTATTGTTCTAAGTGTATCCTTAGCCTTAAGCAACGATAGTTTAGTCATTGACACGGCAGAAAAAACAAGCGTTTACCGTACGGAAAACGAAGGTTGAATTTACGGAAAACGTGGCAATTTACTATCATTTACCCGTGTTTTGCCTATGGAAAATCCGACGTTTTCTGCGCGTTTTCGCATCGGTGAATCCCAGTATTCGTTCCATTATTCGGTAGTTTTCCTTCGCGGTAAATGCAGGTAAACAATTCATTTTCCGGCATTAACCGCTCGGTTAACACATGGCAAACAGCGTGTTTTCCTTTCGTTCATTGGCATTTTCCGAGTGAACAACAACGTATTCACCGGAGTTAACAACTGAAAACACGCATTTTCCGGGAAGGTTAATGTGTGTAAATACGGGAAAACATAATATTTTCCAGAGTTTGCAGTTCGTATAACGCATAGAAAATGCCATGTTTTCTTTTGTTCGCAACCATTTTACGCCCGGTGAACGAAATGTTCACAAGAATTATCCAGTCGAAAGCATGCATTTTCCAACGTTTTTCCGCAATAGTGAATTCGAGAAATTTCGTGAAAACGCATTTTCAGGCGTTTTACCTTTTATTGTTGTTCGGTTAATCTATGGAAAACAACATGTATTCTGCCATTTTGCGCATTCCAACGTTATGTTCACTGGTATTAACCAGTCGAAAGCATGCATTTTCCGGTATTTTCTGTAACGGTGAATTCGTGCAAGGGATGCATTTTCCCGCGTTTACCGCCGCACGGTTAATTACTGTTCGTTAAATTTCACTTCCTGGACTCAGCTCTACTGCAGGTTCTCAAAGCATTTCGTCCTATTTCCCTCTCCCAGACAGGATTAGCACTCCTTTAATAATTCTTATCAAGTTTATCAATGCACAATGATGTTAGCGGTACAATTTATTCAGAGCCCAAAACGGAGCCTGATAACAATCATGTTTGTCATCCTTATTTCACTTTACACATTTTTTCTCTCTAAAGCCAAGAGGCAAAACTTAACCCGTATAGTATAACTGATATTATAAAATTGGAAGGATAACTGTCTGAAAAATTATGTGCGGGTCTATATATACAAACTATAGACATTTTGCAAAAATGAGTGTCAAGGTTTGAAGAAAATATAATTATGTGAACTTCATGTGCTGAGGGAATCAAGGCAACATTCTGAGAATACCACCTTACATTTAATTTTATACCTTAGATCTATTTTAAAAACTTCTAATGTTTGAAATTGCAACTGAAGAATAAATTTAATTGACTAAAAATACAACTAGCTGCAATTCAAACACAGAATTTTCTTAAACCTTAACTGTGAAGGCTGCATGTATCTTTGACTTAATTAAAACAGTTTGAGCCAGTTTGAAAATCATTGAAACTTCTAAAATATTAACTTAAAGAGAAAATATTTACTTGGACTGAGAAAATCTTAGAGTACTCCATCTGATGGAGAACAAGAGAACTCTAAAAGGAAGAATGAAAATTGCAGCCACCTCTAAAATAGCAGATATGTCAAGGATTTTGGGCTCTTTAAAATGAGCATGATAAATTGTTCTCACTAATAAAAATTCACTTAAATGCACAATTCTGTGATAATGTAGTGTGATGGTGTTCAAAAATCTATTCATATAATGTGAATTGTTTGCCAAAAAACACCTGCATTCAATCCTGGACATAAGTGCCAAATGGTGGTCAGGGAAGGCAAAATATTCTAGAAACTGATTTCACTATCCACTGACAATAACTTAAATGTAGGCTGCTCAATTACTTAAATTGCTCAAAATATTACATGTTATACATGTATATGTTTACAGTCTTCAAACTCTCTTGTAATCAACCATGATTGTACAGAAGTCTCACTTCACATTTGCCAACTAAGGTGGTTTCTTGTGAGAAAATTGAAATCAGCAAATTGTCAAATTAAAAACTAAATTCAGACAGAATAAAAGAATGGAGATGGTAGACCTACATCATCTGTATAATTGGGTAGAAATGTGGCAACTTTATAAGAGATGGTCCTAGGGAAGAGAGTTGAGTGACTGTATACTAAAATTAAAATTAAATTTAGGTGGTGGCCCAGAGCAATTTTTCTGGGATCTCTCTACTATTTCTATGACTTGGTCTACCAACCCTTCTGTTCACTGACTGCCTCTTTTGCTGATTCGTCATGGAAGACTTATACCTCTGGTCTAGTATATGGAAGAAGTTGGTAACTTCTTCTGTCCTCCAGGTAAGGGGCCTTGTTACCATTGATGTGGGATCTTCTTCATCAGACTCGTCTGAGGAGACAAGACTAGGATGCAGGGCCTCGAAAATTGGTTGTCTCTTCTCTTCTTCACTTGCCACTTTGAGTCTCTTATCCAGTTTCTAAAAGGGAAAATGTGAAATAAGTTTTTATAATACCGAATGGTGAGCAATTCCTACAATAAATTATTTGTAAAGCCATTGTGTCACTGGTCAGAGTTGTTCTCGGCATAAAATGTTTTTTATCAGCAGATCTACAGTGTAATTTGAACCTTACCCTGTTTTTAGATCAAACTTGAATTCAAACCTTATGAAATTTACTCAAACATACAAGCTGATAAGATAATAGAGTGTTAAAGAGCCAAACAAATTTTTTTACCCTTTTAATTCTTTGTCGCTTCTTTTGCTCCCTCTGATAATGCTCGTAAGTACCATTTTCTTCCTGTCGTCTACGTTTCTTTGATGATGCAAAGTTTTGAGAAATAGCATCTAGATGAAACAATATCAATATATTTAGATTGACTGTGGATTGTTGCACGTTAATTAATAATCTTAAACTAGAATAAGTCTATCATGGTCATTCAGGCAGCCCGTTAAAAAGAATTCGCCTTACTTGCCTGGCAGCAAGCCATCATATCATTATATCATACCCATGATATCGAAAAAGAGTAGATAATGGTCCAAGTTTCTTCTTTGTCGCATTTGTAGGAATTCCAGGTTCAAAATAAAAATCCAGATACGCGCCATGTTTGGCAATTTTGACTCTTCCTATTCAAGCGGAAATTGACTGCATTCTGCATCTAAATTGGTTTAATTCAAAAGACTCACTCCATTTTCGCCAAACTTTGTGCCTTTTAATCAAGAGGAAGTTATGAAGACGATCTTCCAAAAAAAGTATGAAATTAACAGCTAACAACTATTATTTCCATAAATTATAACGTCCTTGTGATGGCAACTACTTTGTCTACCGAGGAGTCTGAAAGTCTTAAGGATTGCAAAACAAACTCGAAAGGGAAAAAACTAGATCCATTTCAGCAATTCGATGATGTAAATGTATATCATCATCAATTTGTGCTTTCTGTCGCCAAAAAAAGCTTCCGATATTGTCTCTTTCTCTGCAATTTTGGGATTTTCTAGTTATGCTACGTCGAATAAATTCACGTTTATGTTTGTAAACAAATTTTGACTCGACTGAACAATTACCCCAATGTCGTAGGCGAACATGAAACTGAAAGATACTTCCTGTATTTATTAACATATATTTCGATTATTAAGTTCTAGGTTCGCATCCTAAGCTTTAAAGAAAACAAATTCTCTGAAAGGCAGGGGTGGTGAAAGGCAAAATCCAAAACTCCTAATTAGACCGTCAACAAATTTTCATTCATTTAAATCGGACTGACTAAGATTTTTAGGGTAATTTAGTGTTATCAATTGAGTTGATAATGTAACTTGGCCACCGTGAAGAGTTTAAAGGCTGACGTTTCGAGCGTTAGCCCTTCGTCAAAGCGATTGACGCTTTACTCTCCCACCGACGCAGCACCATAGTTTCTTTAGCAATTAACCCCCTTTATTCATTTGAAATCAGCTCGTTAGCCGAGAGGAGTTCCAGCCACGAACTCATTGAGAGACGATTTTTAGAGATTTATATTCTAATGAAGCGTAAATCAGATAATTTCAGTTTGATAATGAGCTGGTTCCATCTCGTGAAATAGGTTCAAGTCAGTCATCATCGACTTTTTGATAGCTTTTGTTAGATTTTTTGCTTACCCTGTAGGCTCTCATTGGCCAAATCATCGCTGTATTCAAAAATTGATCAGGTACATGGAATAAAGATTGATATAACGCGAATTTAGATTATTAACGTACAACACCAGGACTTACGAATTTTCTTTCATTGGAAAACTGGAATTGACAGAAGTGGAAAAATCATCATACAGTATGTTTATGGAAGTATGTGAACTTCATAACGTATATTCTGAAATGTGACCTGTTAGTCAGTATATAATTATGATAGTATCGGCGATGGAAAGTGACGCAGTCAGCTGATAGATGCGTCACAGTTATGTCAGGGTTGCCGCATTCTCTGCGTCAGGGTTACTGTTTTAGGGGAGTCTACAAGGGAAAAAGCTTTATACATCGGTTCCCAGTATTTGTTTCCGTGTTTGCTCGCCTGTTGAGAGAGCCGTTAGTAAGAACACTGAATTTAATATGTAATTTTTACAGGATTACCGTTACCTCTACCAAACATTAATATTTTAATTGCGGGTGTTCGAGTAATGTGGATCTTAGTGATGGATCAGGAAGGGCATCTTTGGTGTTTCGGGTTGAACTCACAAAAATTTTGCTTCTTTTTCAGTTCCTAACATTCGTGAAAAGGAAGGAAACGAGATAAAAGTCATCGAGGTGACCAGCGGTGAGGATGTTAAACTCACTTGCCAGATCAGAACCGTTGGTCAGACCTCAAAACCAAGGTATTACTGGCTCAAAGACAATCAGACGTTCAGTCCATCGAGTCATCAACGTCTGAGGTTAAAACTCTACAGATCCCTAAAGATAAAAAGAGCCAAGAAAGAGGACGCCGGCTTCTACACCTGTGTCGCAGTAAATGACTGTGGCAAGAATTCTTTTACAATGCACCTATTTGTCGGAAGTAAGTAAACATTTGCGACCATTTGAGTTGTTTTAAAAGTACAAGTACGCATGTGATTTATAGCGGTATCCTGGGGAGCAAAGTTCTTTTATACTAGTTGTGTGCGACAAACTGAGGTGATGTCAGTTTAAGTAGGAGTTGCTGAGGTAGGCAAATAAGGAGGGAAAAGATGGTAATTTCATACTTGCCATCACAAAAAGTTATTTCCGACGAAGGTGCAATGTTTCCTTTACGATTGCTTAAAGTATTTAACTGAGACAGCTGGGAGTTCAAAATCCCGTCAGGACGTGAATAGAAAGATTCAGATGTGTGTGGCCTCAGATAATCTGCATCACAAAAGCATTTTCCATCTAAGCTCTTTCTTTAAGCTCCAGCACTGAATCCCAACAAAATTACAGTAGGAGGTAAGACAGATGTGCTTTCATTTCTAATTGGAAGAAATTAGTGAAAGATGAATATAGAAGCAGTTTAGTTGATATAGGAGCCGATATTGATGTTCTTTGAAATAGAGAAAAGCAACCTTCCTCTGGAAGACTGTCTCAATGGGGTGATGGCTTTTACGGCTAACGTAACGTTACGGCTAATTTTGGCCAATCAACGGCTAACGGCTAAATTTTTGGCTGTTGTAAGGCTGTCGGATAACTCCATTAACACCCTCCGAGAAGAAAACTGATGATGAAAAAAAATTATCAAGAAATTGTAATCTCTTGAAAAAACATTGATGAAGTGTTGAAGCTCATCTACAATACCCAATCAAAAGTTAAGATTTGTAAATCCAATTTAAAAAAATAATATTTTGGCAATAGCATATGTTATCCAGTAAATTTCGTAATTGTTCTACGCTTTGTGCGTTAAACATTAACTCGGGAGTAGAAAAGGCCAAGATATGATTGTTGATTCTCCCCTTTAGCTGCTACATGCATTTCCTTATAAATGCCGGAGGAAAGAGAATTTGGTGTTAGCAACTTCTAAGTGTTCTCATTGCCTGTTTGCTGGATAATGTGTGGATATTATACCGGGGAAGTTACATGTTAATCACATGTGGGAGTTAAAGGGCAAACAGGTTTTGGGTCAGAGTGATGTATTGCTGTAGAACATCGATTCAACGAAATGCCAAAGGACCAGGGAAATTGCTTCGTTATATTGAGGGTTCTTTATATCGAAAACCTCGATTTAACGAATTTGCGGAAAAAAAGCCAAAATGTTCGTTATGTCGTGGCATGGTTAATATTGCTTTTTAGGTACCACAAGAATCTGAGCAATTACGGTAAATAATATTAGTGATTTAATGTCTACGTTAAGAATTATTTTTGAAAACAGTTTTTAGAAATGTAAACTAGTGAGCAGCACTCTGCGAACAGTAGTTGTAAAACTTTTTAATCCTCCGATGCGTTTCGTCTAACTGTCGTAGACTTCTTCGGGGAATTTTACAAGTTAACACGAAACACCTGTATTCATAAGCTGTTGTCAGCGGCTTTTACTGGGGCCAATGACCGTATAGGTTTGGCTGGACTTACGAACAGGAACAGGCGAAGTTGTGAAAAATTTTGAACATTTTTAAAGCAAGGTGAGAAAAATATGTAGGGGGCCACGGTTTTAGTTTCGTGTTAACTTGTCAAACTTCCTGAAGAAGTCCACGACAGTTAGACGAAACACGTCGGAGAATTAAGAAGTTTACAACTACTGTTCGCAGAGTGCAGCGATTACTTGTTTATTACATAAATGGCAAAATATATGAGGGAATTGCATTTGCGCACGATTTCCGCGCGATGAAGCCCTTTCAATGCCGCCACAAATGTAAAAAAAAAAGTAACTCTTAAAGAGATTCAATGAATACTTTATTCTCAAAATACAGTTATCAACGTTACATGGCTTTATTCAGTTACATTGCAATCAATAGATCTTTGCCTCAAACAGCAAAAAAGCTTCATCAGCATCAAGTAATCATGCCCTCTTGATTACCAAAGTGCCCTCGTGATTAAGAAAAAATGCCCTCTTTCTCAGCCAATCCTCACTTAGTTATTTTGCCCCGCATGTGATAAAGCTCTGAACCATCACCATATGACCAGTACTGTAGAACACCTAAAATAAAATAATGTTTAGACTGTAACCTAAAATGTGTTAGAAAGGGGTAGATTCCGGGCGGTCGTCGAGAAGTTCAATGCTCAAATTCTGTGGCTGTTCTGTGCTTCACAGCTGCTCCAAGATTTACGGTGAAGCAAAGCAAGATGAGGCGCAACCTTCTTGCAGTACCCGTTGGAAACTCTTTAAAGCTGGACTGTTCTGCCGACGGAAACCCTCGTCCTACCGTGAAATGGTACAAAGACGGAAAATTGATTAAGGAAAGGAAAGGGGGCAACAAACTGTATTTGAGTCCATGGACAACCTTGTTGAGTTTGAAGGACTTGGTTCCCTCTGACACTGGGTCATACATGTGTAATGTGAGCAACTCATACGGATGGATTAATCATACATACAAAGTAGACGTTCATGGTAAGAGGAAAAATCCTTCAAATTTTTCTAGCTGACACAGACTCTGAAGAGTACTCACGGTTTTCTTTATCTGAGAAAAAGAATCTTCAAACTCTTTTGGTCAATATAAATCCCATTTAAAAAGTCAAATTAAAATAAACATTACAAGTAACGAAACAATGGATGTTTTTGGGTTACATGGACAGTATTGACAGTATTCTCTTTTCAATTTTTCAGAACGAGCTCGTGCTGAACCAGTCGTTCTACCCATGGAAAATGTCACAGTTTATCGAGGAGAGAATGCCAGCTTAACATGCAAAGCATTAAGTGATTCCATGCCTCATTTCCAGTGGTTAAGGTGGTTTCCTGTGCGTTCCAACGGTTCGGCCAACAGTTCGGTAAGCGGTTCAATTGAAAGTCCTCACTACGAAATCGTGAATAAAGAAGACACAGACCAACATGTAATTGTGCCACCAAGTGGTGGCAAAAAGTTTGATTTCCACGGAGTGAAGTTGACTTTGTTAGATGTCACAAAGAGGGACGAAGGAAAATACACCTGCATTGTGGGAAATGCTGCTGGTCACGCAGTCGAACATGCTTACATCATTGTCCAAAACATCGGTAGGTAAAACTATAATAAGATTACTAGTTCTTAATAATTTTTGTTATCATTCACTTTATTATGATCAGATTTTAGGGGCTTTCTGTGATTTGCTCATAGCAGCTGTTTTTCTTACCACATTTTGACGTCATCTGTGATATGTTACTGAACAGATGCACGGCAACATGGAATTTATTTGTTAACCTTTTAACCCCTAAGAGTGACTAGCATCTAATTTCTCCTTATAATATCACCCCTGAATCAAACATTAAGATGATGAGAATAGAGGAAATGATCACCAAGTAAAGCAGCTCTTGATTATCAAACAAATTCTCTTTGTCAGCACCTTAGGAAATGTATAGTGAATAGTGTGGAGAATGTGGATACTGATGTTAGGGGGTGAAGGGTTAATCCGTTGGGTGTATTTTATTGTCCATGAAGCCCTTGTAAACAGCTTTCTTTTCTTGAGAGTCTCCTTCGTCTCGGGAATCACGGAGGGTCGATTTTTGCACGACTACGTGCTGTGTTTAGTCGAAAAAGCTTGCGCTACCGAGTGGCCTGTGGCCGTTTCAATCACTTTGATTTGGGTTTAGAACACTCAGTTACAGTGTTTGTGTCGTGACTCTGTTCAATTCCACTTGGATGTTAGTAAATCAAACACGGGCCAATTAAAAAAAGCGACTGCTCTATGATAGCTGATCATTTGCTGAAAATTGTTTCCAACCGAGCATAACTCATTTTTTTTTTCAAGGCCCATTACACCATCTCCTTCAGGTAGGAAGTGATTGAGTAAGCATGCTGAGGCAAATGGATTATGTTACTTCAGAAACCCACTCCAGACTATCTGTTAGCCCTTTTCACTCCTAAAATCTCATTAGTAATTCTCCCTACTGTCTGACATACAGTTCCTATTCTCATCACTTTTCTTCTTGGTACTGTATTGATATTGAGAGAAGAAATTCTGTCTTGCTTACTCATGGGAGGTAAAGGGTTAAAAAGGGTTTGGGAGCGGCAAGGGAGATATAGAAGATAAAGAGCCAATATTCAGTGGGCGATATGGTGGTACGTGCTCTGGTTTGCGGGCTCGATACCTGGCCTGTTGTTTGCAGGCAAGACACTTTACTTTCACAGTGCCTCTCCCACCCAGGGGTAGAGATGGATGCAGGCTTCCTCTCGCCGGGGGAGAATTTTGGATCAATTTTTGCTGGGTTTGTCCTTTGTTCGATATAATGTGAGGGCTGCCAGGTATTTGCGGATAACGGACGTTGTTAAATCAGACAGTGGAAACTTTTCTTGAGTGGCTTCCAATAGTTATGGAACAACAAATCGCACAGTGAGGTTGATTGTTGAAGGTAAGTTCAACCCAATGCGGTTGAGGTTTCTGGAGGAATTGAATGTGAATGTTATCTAATCATTGACGAGGTTATGTAAAGGAGGTTCTTGTTCCACAAAACATAGTTTTTATCTCTTTCACCTTGTAGTCTATTGACCGCATTTTAAGATTCCAAAGACCAACTTAAAGGGTAACTGACGGCTAACCGGTCACTTTTTCGGAATACTGTCTAAATGCCTCGGCTAACACTGAAACAGATACAAGGTGCTTCGAATGCCTCTTTGTGCCTTTTTTCGCCGGGAAAACTGTCCTAAATGCAGCTTCGTGAGTCATCCGCCGTAAACGCTTCGATTTTGATCATGTGACCTTACACGTCACACGTGTGTACATTAAGCAAAGTAAATATGGCGGATAGTACTTCGAGTGAAAGCAGTTCTATTTCGGGGTCTGATTATTCGGATTTTGAGGCTTCGATGGAAGGCGAACATAATGAAAGGGTTTATGAATCTGTTGGTGAATTCAGGCCCTGGCAATTTGAACCGCCAGGACGAACGTAACTTGAAATAGAGCGCAAGAGTCAGAGGAGGATCCATAGCCCGTGCGCCGCGGCCGCCTCAATCAAGAAGGCGAGAATGGTGAGTGCATTTACGATTATAAATGAAGTATCTGAAAATCAGTCCCTTAATAAATATAGGAGCGATCAAGAAGAGAAAACTAAATGTGCAGACTCCTGAATACTGTGGGAGCGAAGTGTTTTAACGCAACACGCACGCACCTTCCGAAGCCAAGGTTTCACTGGCTGAAAATATAAACATACACGCTTGTGGAGGTGAATTGGATGGATTATACTCGTTCACACGCGATTGAATCGGTTTTAAGTTTTCCTGTGTTGAATTTGACGAACGACTGAAGATTTCTTGGCTTTTACTTTGAAACACGATGCAGCAAAAAATAGCATTCGTACATGTAGAATTGTAGATAAAGTAAAGTAGCCTAAAGTTTGAATTATCTCTCACGTTTGTGACATTTATAGAGCTGATAACTGTTCCTTTTGGTGAAAGCAATCACACAAGTTGTGGTCTCTATTTTTTCTATTCGACATCGTGAAAAAAATTGCTACTTTACTGATTTTTTTTATTACAAGGTGTCAGTGTGGAAACTGCCGATCAATGTGGAGGGAGGAAGAAAACATCTTTTGCCAAGAAGTGGATGTGGTCAAAAATGAAAATTTTGAGGATGCCGGTTACAGTGGACAGTTGCAGGCAGAAGCCAGATGTATTGTCCAGCATCCAGGGTTTGAGGAAACTGGTGAAGGCTGACTCCGTTTAAGTTCAGCTCGTAATTTGAGAAACATTACGTGCTTTTTATTTCCGTAGCACGAGTTTGTCGCGGACTCGGTTCCTTTTTTTTACCAAAGCACTGCGTTTTAAACGGTGGGTAAAAGGTAGTCCCGTGACGTGTGCTTTAATGGTTTCCTCTCTCAGGCTGTCGGCTTGTTTTATTTACGATAATGAGCGCGAGTCATTTACTGTTCACTCAGCTGACATTGGTACATTTTTGAAACGAGTAACCTTTCGGACAGGATTGATTTCATCATGTTTCCGGTCGCAAATGAGAAACAACGCTTGAGTGTGGCGCTCACAACAAGGCCATTCTTGTAAAATCCGTTTACAGCATGTTTCTGTCATTATACACTTCCACTGGAAGTTAATTAAACTTAGGCACACGAATATGCTATGTATGCTGCTCAATGTTAGTTGTAACCATTCCTGAAAAACTCTCAGCCAGAGAAGAAACGTATCGAAAGAAATAAACAAAAAGTTCCACTAAAAAAAATTTAAAAAGGATACACCGGACAACATCTAAAGACAATACTTTTCGACTTGGAATTAAAAAACATTTCTATAAGTATAGGACTCGATAGTGATTAAGAGAAAAAGTAGTGGGAACATATATTTTTTTACAGCTGTTTGGAATGGCGTGCAAATTACCTGTGGCTCTGAATACAGACATGCTATCTGTCGCGTTTCGATTATTCAACCTTCGTTGTTTTATTTCTCACTTCGTATTTCATAGTCTCTAATTGGTGGCCTATAAGAGAATGGAACAAATCTTATTTTTTTTTCCGCTCGTAAATTTCGGCAGCAACTGAGCAGCCGGGACGAAGTTGTTACTTTCAGGTCTTGACATGACACTTTTCACTGCCGTACACATGTGTGACATATCACATCACGCGACCTGAATCGAACCGTTTCCAAAATGGCCGTCGATTAAGCGTCAAAACAAATTTGTAGAAAATTTGGTTTTGCACAATATATCGTTAAATTTGCCCATTTTGGATTCTTTAACATAAGAGGAATATATTGAGACAAAAAAAGGAGAAAAATTTGGCGTCAGTTACCCTTTAACCTTTCAAAAGTTATCTTGAAATGTGCGAAAATTCGACTTTTAGACTCCGCCATTTTTAAACTTCTTCAATCGCAATCGAAAAGATTCCGTTGACGGACCGATATGGTCAACAGCTTGATTGACTGTTTGAATGACAACCAATCTAAAATGGAATGGAGAAGCATTAATCTTAACGCGGTCAAACAAATCCAATACAAAGAATAGCCAAGTTTCATACAGACGATGTTGATATGCTTAATCCTTGGAGATAAACATTATCATGTCATTTACAGTACATTATCGACTGAGCTTTGAAAATTGATCTTCTCTTGCAAATGTGGCTCATCCACATTTCCTTGGAGTTCTGATAATATGGTAGATACATGATTTTATGAGTGTAATTAGTTGTTAAAATACGGCCAATTTTTCTTTCTTTTAGAAGCCAAAATCTGCCAAGCAAACCAGTTTACTTGCGCTGATAAGAGTTGTATTTCATTGTTTCGGAAGTGTGATGGTCGTAATGATTGCCATGATAAGTCAGATGAAAATGGATGTCCAACGACGGCCCCTCTGGTTTGTTCAAAAGGAATGTTTCGCTGTGATGGAGACTGCATAAAAGGTTATTTGCAGTGTGATGGAAAAAACGATTGTAGTGATGGATTCGATGAGAGAGGATGTGGTGAGTATAGAAATAGTTCATTCATGAATGAGAAGGTGTGAAAGATGCTTGTGTTAAACTATTTAATATTTAAATGTTCTATAGTTGTAGTTGAAAATTGTATCTTGGTATAAAGTTGTCTTCTTGTACAGCTTTTGAGTCTAAAGGAAACGTTTTGCAAGTATGATATGAAAAAAGAAAGGAATTTGTTCATTAGCCCTGGGATACTGGTCATTGGTAGTTGTTGTGTTAAAAAACAGCTATTTTTCTTTTGCTCAGATCCAACGGCTTCACCAACAAATGTTTCAAGAGGTACAGTTCATTGATATAATACAACTTAATTACTTCTACTTATTAGATAGCAAGGTAGTCTTGAGGTAGATCCGAGCGTTCTGATCGGTTCTTACTTGGTCCGTATTTTGCCATACGGACTGTTTCCACTGAAACGGTCACACACCGTGTATTTTTGTTTTGATAAGTTAGCAAATTCAAGAACAGATTTAACTCAATAACCTCGCTTGCTCGAGCCACAATGGGGAATATTGGCCCCTGATCGTTTTTTGTAAGGACCTCGCTGCAATTGGTCCATACTGCGAAGACCTGGGCCAATATTTCCCAGTATGGCTCTTTTTATCACAGATTACAAATGCCTTTATTGTGTAGCTCCTTACTTTTGAAGCAGATAGTCAAGAAGTAGAAAAGAGTAGCGTCTCTGGTATGCGTCTTAGGCTGCCAAGCGCGATAAAAATGCGGGATTTGTGGTCATATTCTTAGTGCATTTGAAGACTGTTATCTGAAAGCTAGGTTACTATTTAGAATCTTAAATCGTGTTCAGTTTCTTGATTTCAAAAACATTTTTGAAATGGCGCCGGGAGAGTGAAAATATTGTGGGTTATGAGGCAAACTTCTCCTGCTGAATGGAGGAGATTTGCATGACCACTCGACTATCATTTCGTGGAAAGTAGATTGTAATACATCTAATCAATTCATGTTAAGGAGACTAGGTTAACCTTGAGCTGTTCAACATAAAACCACTAGATTAAAATACTCTTATGGCAATAATCAAAGTTTCCCTGTTTCTTTTGAGCTTGCCACAATTTAAGGCTGAATGTAAGCGATGTATCACAGTGGCTTCTCTCAAGATATAAATATTTATTAAAATTACTAATATTTACTAAAGTAAGCAATATTTCTTAAAGAAATTCCCACGTCGCTTCGCTGTATTTATTAGGGTCTAATCCTGAGATATTAGAAAAAAAAAACAGGATTAACAGAATACGAGATAGAGGACGAAAACTGGAAAAGGAAAATCCCTTTAAAACAAACTAGCTGTTTCTGTATTTAGAAACTTGGATATAACAAGCTCTGCTTATAATAAGTGTTGGCCTTATTTACTTTTCCAAAACTTTCAGCTCCTTTCGGTAGCGAAAGCTTTAGAAAAAAAAACCTTGCCGGGAGAGCAAGACAACGAAATTAGTTGAGTTCCTACTACTTTAGTCCCTGGAAGTTTCCAAAAAGCCAAATATTGTTGAAGTTTCAGGAAACTATTTAGTTGGTTAATCATAACCATTACAATTTCCTCAAATGTGATTAGTGCATTAACGCTTTATTTTTCACTACTTACTCTGTAGAGTTGTAATCGGACAGTGTAACAGGACAGTTGGTTGTAATCGGACACTTGATATCTGACAGTTAAAGAAGCCAATCGTACTTAGTCCACTAAGCTAATCAACTTATAACAGAATTGATCACAATAACCATAGCAACAACCACTTATCCTGAGAAAAACTGGGGAATTTCCAAAATGGAGGAATTTTTAACTGTAGACATTTGTTCTTAGTGTATTTTTTTTTTCGGACATCGTAATGGTTATGATTAATTGATCGTGATTAACAAATCGCTTCGCAGTCGTCTGATTTGTTAATCACTAGTATGATTACAGACCGAATTGGACTCCATTTGATCCTATCCTCACTACTGCCGTGAACTGCTATAATTTTCTACGAACTGTATGCGATGCGTTCCCATTTTTGGGTGAATAGCTACAATCTATACAGACTAGGGTCGTTCTCTATCATCTTAAATGTTGCTGTTTCTGTGGATATCGCCTTTATTCTCAATAGCTGGACCAACATTCGGGAATTTAGGCAATGGGCTCGATTGAAAACCTATACTGCAAAACTAAAAGTGGAGAATCGACACATAACGCGAATGGCTAAGAGAGAAGAGTTCGAGGTACAGCCATCTCCTCCAACTCGTACGAAGAAAACACCAACTCATCTCGTCAAAACCATGCTCCCAGTGTTACCTTGCATGTTTCCTCCTGACTTCTATTGTTTATGAAGTCTTTGATGATTAGAAATGATAACCTGGAAACGTATCTCGTTCCTAAGGTGAGAAGACTCGCGATGCTCTTGTCCCCGGAATCGTCTCGGCAGGCGTGCTAATTACCGTAGCTGCTTTATCTTTTATCTGCTGGCGCTCTCGATCCCGAACTAAGGAGCCAGTGAACGATTCAATTTCAATGTTAGGTAAGTCTAACTTGGAAGAGAGGTCAGTAGTTTTTTTAAAGGTTTAAAGATCTCTTTTTTACTTCTTAGTTTGTTTAGGCTATGTACTGAAAGCCGAAAGCTCGCGTGTTTGAGGCAGAGAACGCCCTTTGATCTCATTATGAATTTTAACCGTGCCAGCCCATATTTTTAATATTGTTAAGGTGATTCCTCAGCATTGAACTGTGCATCCTGTATTGGCCTTAAAAATTACGTAATCAGTCAAGTAAGCGCGCGCATATTCCGAGAACACGGTATTGTTTTTCAATAAGTGGACTGGGTAATGGGATAGGATGGTCTTTAGCTTGTGAACTAGCATGGTGACCTATATTTTTTTAATTGCATAATTATTATGTATAAATTTCCCCCTTTAAATTGGGCAAATTAAAAAACATTCATCGAATTGGAAAAAAAGATATTACTAAAATCGTGCACAGACTGTTACTCGACGATGCAAATTATGACTTAAAAACAACGACTTAAGGAACGTTTTGAGTTGATGTCGTTTAAAATTGCGGGATTTTTTCATTACATATCAAATTGTTCAATACGCTCAAGACTTTCAACCTATCGAGTTTTTCAGTTTTAAAATGTTACTTTAGCCAGCCTTGCTTCCAGCTGCAGCAAAATGTGCTGCGAATCAATGAAATGACGCACATGATCAGTACCAGAACAGGCATAAATTGGGCAAGTTTGGCCCATCATATCTCTTAAACGAGCACGGTGACCAACCTTTTAAATTGTACTTTTCGAAACAGACATTGGTAGGGAACATTTTAAGGAAAGTTAAAAAGAGAATTGTTTCATAACTTTATTTCAGTTTTTCTGAGGAATCACCTTAACTGGTTTTGAGTCAAAATCTGACTCCTATAAATTTTTACTATAGAACTGTCAGCCAGCAACATATCCTTATTTTTGCTTTCAGAACTTGAATTTGAATACGACGCGTTCGTTATTTTCAGCTCCCAAGACTCGGATTGGGTGACTAAAACTCTAATTCTAACTTTGGAGGAAAAGCACGGTTTTAAATGCTGTGTACACTACAGAGATTTCGTTGTCGGAGTACCTTTTCGTGAAAATATGGTTAACAGTGTTTACAAGTCAAGAAAAACGATAGCTGTCGTGTCTAATAACTTTTTCAATAGCAATTATTGCGGTTCTGAAATGGATTACGCCCTTCACCGACTCATGGAAAGGAGAGATAACAGTTTAGTCGTCATCAAACTTGATGATGTGGACAGAGGAAAACTCCCAAAGGAGCTGCGAAAAAGGAGCTTCATAGACCTTTCAAAGAATGTTGAAAAGGAACACTGGGAAAGAAAATTGGTTAAATGTTTAACGATCCCTAGCGACTTGTCACAGGAACAGATTTTGTAACAAGCTTTTTGATAATTAGGTTTTAACTACTTTTGTATGTGCGGTAACTAACTCGAAACGTGGCGAAACTTGTAATAATAATAATAATAATAATAATAATAATAATAATAATAATAATTAACGAGGGAGACCAACACGCCACAGCGGTTTTCAGTGGGACCTCATTAACTAAATTAATTACCTTAATTGAAATAATAATAATAATAATAATAATAATAATAATAAATAAAATAAAATAAAATAAAATGTGTTTGCAAATAAATTTAAAAAGAGTCAAAATTTCAAAATCGGTAACTAATCGAAATATCAAAGTTTAAAATTAATCAAAATCTTTTAAAAAAGTTTTCAGCTTGGATTCAAAAATAAATAAGAGATGTTTCTTTCAGATCAGTTGGAAGACTGTTCCAGTCCTTCGCAGCTTGATAGATAAATGTTTGCTTACCCCAGTTAGTTCGAGGAAGGGGCAAACGAAGATCATTGGGACGTCTTGTGTTATATGAATGGACAGCTTGATTTTTGATAAAATCGATATTAAAATGGTGTCGTTGTTCTTGTCCCCCCATATAACATCTCCGTAATCAAAAAGAGGGAGGATTAGGGTATTGTACAAGTTAACTCTAGTATGTAGTGGCAATACGTTCCTGATTGTCCTGATTAGGCCTATCCTTTGATTAATCTTCGTGCTGATAGCATCGATATGATCTGTCTACGACATAGATTGGTTGAATGTCACGCCTAGGTACTTGAATAATTGTGTTCTCTCAATACAAGTGACCTCTACTTTAACCAAAATATCTTGAATGCGATTCAGTTTCTGATGACTTCCAAAGATAACAAAATTGAACTTGGATATTTTTAGAGTAAGGAGATTTCTAGAGAACCACTCAGACACTGTTCGCAAGTCAGCATTGATGTGATGTCCAAGATCACTGACATTTTTGATTGAGTAATAGATTACAGTATCGTTCGCGTAAAGGGTAATATCACAATCCGGAAGATCATTCACGTAAATCAAAAACAGTAAAGGTCCCAATATACTGCCTTGGGGTACCCCGACAGGCATTTCGGTAGCTCTAGGGCGAGCATTTCCAACCCACGATGTGAGTTGTGACCTGTTTGTGTATTGTTGTAGACAACAAATGTATTGCTGTAACCAACGGTTTCAAACTGTTCTTTAATATCTGTTAATACACATGTGCGTTCGAAATCTATGGCAAAAATACACAGCGATTATGACGAGTAAGGATTCAACTAAATTACAATTCCAAGAGAGGAAATATTTACCCGATGGTTGTCCTCAACGTTCGTTGCGTCTCATGCAAGATCAACTAATGATAGTTTCGTTTTGTGGTTGTTCAATTATAGGTTATCAACGATTGGTCTGTTTTCACGCGTAGTTAATTAATCTAGAGTGAAACAGTCTGTGAGATACGATTTAAACTACTGGGTGGTAGAACTGGTAAGACCAATGTTCGTCAGCTTTCGTTGTAGCAAGTGATGATCCACTGTATCAAATGCCCTTGATAGGTCTAAAAAAAAAAGCACCCACGAAGGAACTAGCGTCCGTATTCTGAAGGATATTGTCTGTGAGATGGGCTAAAGCTGTCCCGGTTGATAACTTTGGTCTGAAACTAAATTGTTTGGATGTAATGATCTCATTATTCTCAAGATAAGCATACAGTTGGATGTGCACGGCTTTTTCTAGGATTTTACTTATTGTTGGCAGTACAGTAATGGGTCTGTAATTGTAAGCATGGCAGCGGTCACCTTTTTCTGAATAATGCTGTAACTTTTCCAAATTTCCAAAGATAAGGGAAGATGCGAGTTTCAAGGGAAAGATTGAATAATCTTGTTAGGCTGGCACTGATAACTGTGGCTGAATCTTTCAGCAGACGTACGCTGATGTTATCGAGACCGATAGCTTTATTGGTTTTGAGCTGTTGTAGCTGACGAATAACGAAGTCTTCCGCCTTCTTATAGAACTCAAAAATGCACTTGGCGCATTTTTTATTTTACCTGATCGGTAAGTATTGATAAGGCCGATAAGATCAGAGATTATTATGCAGGGGTACATTCAACGAGAAACCCCAACAACGCAAATACTGATCCTTGTGATATTTAGATGACGATTCATTGGGCGCGCCTTTAGAGGTCTGAGTTTAAAATTTCAAGGTCTTTCCAGTCACAAATCACTGTCAAGGCTCTGATGTGCATGCTTGCTTACAAGATGTTTTACATGTAAGCTTCAAGGAAGACACGTTGAAAAACATATGAAAACATTAGGTATCAGCGACAACATTTTCGCATGCTTTTGAAATGATTTTCACGTGCCTTTCACTTGCACATAAAACTATAGGTGTGAAAATCGTATTTAGACTTCGTCTAGATTTTACCATTACAAGAGCCTGAGTACGTGCAAATATGCATCTAGGTTTTTTTAAGGCTTTTGCCTTGTATTGTTGTCTATCATGCGGGGAGCTTTTCTTTGTGTGAAAAAAAAAAACCTTTCATTTTTTTCTCGTGACTCTGGCGAACCCTTCTCGTTATCAAACGGAAGTTGTGAGATGATCCTCTTTCGAAATAACAGTCAAGGTGAAATTATAAGGGTTTGTATGGGAATATTTATGACCGCTCTAAAGAATAAAAAAATAGGTCAAATGCTGAATGAAAATACCTCACCTTACTTCCAGAGTACATTGCCTGTTATTTGGCCGCTTACTCCGTTGAAGGGAATCCATTTTAGCGAGTTATACATTTCGAGGTTTTCTACGCACATAAGAAAAGCTTTTCTTATATGTATGTATGATTGTGTGTGTGATCTAGCAATGACTTATGAACAGCATGTAGGCAAATAGAATTTGCTTTTTTTGTAACCTTGCTCCAAATTCTGCTACCTCAGTTTGTTGGTTATCTAAAATATTTGACAGTCAATTATCTCTTTTTCGTTGACGGGCCCAAAACGGGATTATTTAAATTTTTATGAACTTTTGTGGCCTTTACGGTTCGTGGGCAAGACTGCTTGAGAAATGACGCAAGTTTTTTTTTTAATGAAAAGGAACACAAATGCATTGCGAGCAGCTCTGAATAACTTTATGAAAGAAACTGATACTTCAGGAATCATCATTCGCAGCCAAACACCTTGAGAACGTCAAGTCACCAACCGTGTTTACAGGGAACTTTTTCTATGCGCATTACAGGTAAGCAGAGTTTCACTAAAAACTACAAACTTGAAAACAATTTTTCTGATAATAATTAACCAATGCTTAACCAATTGAAAATACTCCATACTAGAAAAAGCTGAGACAGACTAACTGAAAAATACTACATCAAACTTCACTGGAACTACACGAAACCATGCTGAAGAACTTAAGCTACTTACAGCATCCCACACCAAAATTCACGAAACTACACTAAACTACATCAAACCATACTTGACTTCATCAAGCTACACCAACCTACACCAACTTACTCCACACTACGCCAGCTTACACCAAACCGTACACCAAACTACACCAACTTACACCAAACCACACCAAACTACACCAACTTACATCAAACTTCACCAGACTACACCAAACTACACCAATGACTACACCAGAATACACCAAACTACACTAAACTACATCAACTTACACCAAACTAAACCAGACTACACCAAATTACACTAAACAGCACAAAGTTATACAATCTGTGAAAACCTGCAATCGGACTACCATCTGAACTACAGTGTGCTAGATTAAAGCTCACCCAATGCTAAGCAACTTCACTGATTTCACCAACTACACGAACTGAAGCTAAAAGTACGCGAAAATACACCCAACTCCACCAGTTGCTAAATTATCAACCAAACTCAAATATGGTCAATTCATTTCAACCACAATTAAAATAAACTTAAAAACTGTATAAACTCTTCATGATAAGGACACGAGACAGAACTTTACATTTCAACTGGCTGTCATGTATATTCTCCTCTCAGTGGAAAAAAATTGAAAGGAAAAACTTAAAATCACTTTACGGATGGTCTTATACTTAGTAGCTGAGAATTATGTGCTAGCAAAAAATGTTAAGCGTCACACTTTCATCATCAAAATTTCAATAGTCAATCAGTTGTTACCTTGGAGAAAGGTTTCATTATGAAAAGCACTTGAAATTTGAGCTTTTCAACAATAACTGTGGAAACAATGTCTTGATATCCTAAAGTGCGCTTTTCAGCATCCACTGGCATATTTTCATCTGACAGGAAAATGAATCATGTCTTATACAGAATTTGCGTTACACTTTGAATCGTATTCCGCCAGCACAATAACAACTTCAATCTCAAGAATCTATTTTTTCCTTTAGTTCCGCGGCATTTTGATCTCGAATCATTAAGCTCTTTAATTCCCAAATCTCATGAAAAACTAATTGAAAGAAATATGACTCGTTTGCGGTAAAATTTGGTGATTAAAAGCAATGTCAAAGTAAGGCAAACTCGTCATGTTCAACCTTGATAATACGGAAACATAACACAAGGTACGTGCAATTTCTTTTGGGAAGGAAAAAAGAACAAGGATAATTTGGTTACAACTGGATAAATATGCTTCTCATTGATCGCCGAACCAGTGTGCTAGTAGAATATGGTTTGAAACTTAACCATGATGCAGATTGTTACTACTGTGTTATTGGCCTCTTATTTTCTATTATCAAATATGTTTCTGATATGGTTGAAAATATTTGGAGCCTAACTTTCATTGTGCATCTGCGGCCACACTAAAGGGTAGCAGATTCCAAGCCCGATTTTTTTCAGTTTTCATTTTTATTGTATAATTAAGAAAATTGAAGACGGAAATCTTTGCGAAATTTGCCTCCAAAATTTCGAAATAACTGCTATCTTTGCATTAGCATTGCATCAGTTCTTTCCTAATTCGGATTTTGAATGTCGATGAAAGGAGGAGAGGAACCCGTCGGTTTCATTTTGATTAAGGGCACTGCTACTAAGTTATATTAAACGAATTCTGAACAGGACGAGGATAGTCATTTCCTTAAGAGTACTTTTTATATAGTAAAACTTCTAATCTGAGGACTAAGAAATATAGACTTAATAATCTATTTTTGTTACGAGAATTCGTCGAGATGCAAAACGTGACATGAACTGACAAATTAACTTCCGTTGTGTCCTTTAGAGCTCAGAAATCAAATTTCAGATATACAAGATAGAATTTCTTGATTTATAAGATAAAAGTTGTCTTTTCGTTTAACGCTGACTCTAAGATATATCCCAAGTAACCTTGCTTTATGAGATGGGGTGCATTCGGTTGCAAGGTTGCAGAAAAAACGTTTAGGAACAGCAATCATATAAGGGGTGTGTAAAACTGCTCTTATATGAAAAAGCAATAACTTTTAATGATGTAACATGCTGGTCTGAGCCTTATACGAGTTTTTTAGGTTTTTTCTTATCTTGGATCGATATCATTTCTCTATAATTACTATATGTTCCAAGCTGAAAAAACCATGAGTCATAGACTCGTCCTAAACATAGCATCACTAAAAGCTTTCTTGGCTACAAGATTTGACTGCAACTTGGTACCCTGGCCTGGAAACAAAACCTATTACAAGCACTGGGCAATGGTCCTTGAAAAGCCTGGCTGTTATAGAGGAAACGATCGAATGATTTTTCTTAGTCCTACCGTTTAAGCGATACTTTAATCAGAATTTTAACACTTGTTACCATGAATTTTCCATTTAATAGTTCTGCTTTTCAAATCCTTCATAAACGTGGGAAAATACCATCAAGCAAGATCTATACGTTTAATCTAAACATTATATGCTTGACTGAAAGATGTACGCTATTGGAAATGAGTCACTTTGTTTTTCACAATGATACATTATCATTTGCGTAATGTTTGCTTGAGGCAAGACCATACTGTTGTTGATATAACCAGGGATCAGTCAGGGCTGGTATCAAAAACAGTTTCGCTTTCGAACTTCTGGCCAAAGCGCAGAGTTTCTTGTTGTTCCTTTAGTATACTTTTCTGATAATAACAGGTAAGCAAACAGAATGTTTTATTTTATGTATAACGAGCCGTATAGCATCCGCGCTGACAATTGTTTAGGTTTCCATTATCTTCCATGTTACTGAGTATTTGTTTTCTTTTCAGTCTCACTTGGACTCACGCAGACACCATGATACTCACTTCGCACTTGTTCAAAGCGTTGATAGTTTGTGTTCCGTTCGTTCTTGTTATTCGCGATGCAAGGAATGTCTTTGGATCAGGTGAGTGTGAACCTACTTAAAAAACATTTTCAACTGCAATACCATGTTGTGAAAATCTTTCTATGAAGGAAAAATTTAAGTTTAGGTTGATTAATGTTGGCATGCATGGCGTAAGAACACTCCGCTTACGCAGACCGACTCTTAGAACTGGATCGTATGTGAGTTGGATTTGCTTTTAGTTTCCGTCGCTTTCACGAGGGTTTTTACTCCCTCTACAATATTCTACCTTCCAATTGTCAATTCGATGGAGAGAAAGTAGACGAAGAAGCACTTCTGGGATTTGCTTTTCTTCGTAGTTAATCCAACTTAATTTGAATTCTTATGCCTGAGGAAGAGGGTTGATCTAATTTAAAAAATGGTAGAGATATGGGCAGCACCAAAATGTGTTTTATGTCCTGAAAAGGCAGTGCGTCAAAGAAACACTTTATCTGACTCGTGTAGCCAATCATAACACTGAATACAATTTATCTGATTCGTGTAGCCAATCATAACTCAGGATACACTTTATCTAACTCGTGAAGCCAATCAGAACACAGGATATGCTTTATCCAACACGTGTGGCTAACCGTTTTATTTTCGTGTTCGTGGCGGGGAGAAAATTACGGAAGGTTGTTATTTATGGGCATTTCTTTTACAACAGCCCCTGACATTTGCCCCCCTGGATGGATGCATTGGAATAACACGTGTTACTACTTTGCTTTATTTTGAATCAAGCCGGGTCGCATGGCAAGACGCTCGACAGGCATGTCAGAGAATCCGTGGAGGAGACCTTGTCAGCATTCACAGTGCTGCAGAGAACGACTGTATAGAACACCATATCTCAGGGTAAGCGCGGTCTAATATCCCTACTAAATTCTTACCAAATATAAAGAAGTCGAAAAACATAATTTTTGAAATGGGGGGTGGGAACATGTGTTCCTGCAAGGTAGTGTAACGCTCAATATTGCGTAAAGAACTGTTGCAGCATTTTTTGCAATCATTGGGAAAAGGGAAACTTAGTTGCACTGTGTGCAACACTTACTTCTTAAACCGGAAAACGTTGCGAGACATATTAATCTTATACTTCTGCGAAAGAATGGACGCATGGAGAAAACAAACATGTGCACAAACGTTTATCGCTGTCAGATGGTTTCTTTGCGTTCAATTGACTATTAATTTAGTTTAATTCCATTTTTACTCTCATTGCGTTGAAACTTACATTATTAAAGCGTAAATCTAACTCCCAACACAACCAATATTTGAGTTTTTTTCAAAATCGTGCATGGAGAAAAGTTGTGCACTGTCTCACTGAATGATTCTGAAAATATGACTTACTGGTTATGACCTGACTCAGTTCGTGCGTTGTATCGTACAACTCTCTGTGCACTTATTTCACCTGTCGTTTATCATTAATAAGATAATAGTCATTATGATTATTTTTATAATTATTCTTATCATTAATTTTATTATGTAGTCCTTGTTGGATTGGACTTAATGACCTCAGGACAGAAGGCAATTTCCAATGGTCGAATGGGTCATCATCTGTTTACAAAAGCTATAGCAACAACGAACCAAATGATTTCCATGGCCAAGAGGACTGTGTGGAAATAAGGTCGTGGTTAGCAGGTAGTTGGAATGACTTAAATTGCGGTATCAACCTGTGCTACGTCTGCAAGTAGACCAAGAAGTTACCCACAGTATGCCAGCTGACATGTAAAACTTATCACATTTTTGGCTGATACATTATTTTGTTTTTCACTCTCCTTTGTCACTGTAATGAGAAGTCTATTGTTCGGAAAACAACGGTAATTTAGCGAGCCTGCAAATACTTGAAAGCATTCTATCCTTTCACGAAGTTATTTGATTCGGAAAAACAAAGAAACATATTTCTAATTTTACTTTTTTTGCAGAAGCAATTAAAATTTGGTGAAATAAAAACAACAGATATTCATCATATTTACAGAGTCGCCGGTATATGTATGGTCTCTGACCACGTTCTCGGTGCCCTAGTCAACTCTCGCACTATATTTTTACTTTTCACTTGCCTTTCGCTACCGGTTACGTGACACCTTAACTTTTTTACCTCTCCCTTTCTTCAACTTTCCAACAGGTCAAGACTTCCGCTTTCGAGCTGCAAACCTTGCGACGTCGTATACATTTCATTTGTTAGCACATTTAATTTTGAGACGGGAATTTTCCGTTAGTTTGAAGGAAGTTAGAATTCGTTTCAGTGGCGCTTTAAAAAGTATTCGAGGATAACGGGGTCTCAAAACTTGTCATTGAATTCCATACGCTTGCTCTTCCGGCATAGTTTTTGTCTCGTCGCCGCGGAGCATTGCTATCCATTTGAAGTAACAGATGACGACCACATTACTAACCGTCTGAGTCAAAATATTCCATAAATTGTTCTTGTTAGAAAGTGACGGCTGATCAAAAGAGTAATTCTGTACAAGTTATGTACTAAACGATATTTTTATGATGTGTTTCACAGACACCATCATACCAGATTTAAATGTGAATCCTTCGGAACCTAAACCAAGTAAGTAATATCGACATTAGTTAGAGACACTATGTATTTTGTTATCAATATTGTTACTATGTTTGTGTTTATAGACAAGAGCCAGAATGCTTAGTTACTACTTCTGGTTTTCAATTGTCGGAATATCTTAGATGACAGAGGTCTTGTGCATGACAGTTTTCCGATCATCTCCGATTTAGCTGATCCAGGAATGAACACAAAATTTTAAGGAGTTTAATCTTCCGAGGAGATTTTGTCGCAAATTTATTAATATTCCAGCAGTAAAAGACATTTCCTTTGATAACTTAGCCACAAAAGAAGATGGAAAGCTCAGGAAGCTGACCTTGCAAGATACTTTCGTCTAAACACACTATCGACCAATGGGACACGCATACCACCTTAAATATTTTACGGTGTTGAATACTCCCTAGAACAATGTTTAATGAGGCGGAGGCAGAAAATTGTTTAACTATGATTATCCAAGTGGTTAACACAGTAAAAACGTGTTAGAAGTTTAAACTTATTAGACTTTTACTGGCCACCAATTTGAAACGCATTAAAGAAAGCTTCTTTTATGAGCAAAACACGATGCTTGAAAGATTTCTTCGCGTCCCATAATTCTCTTCTCTTACTGTATAGCATCAGTTTGACGTATTGAGTTTATATATTATTCTGTCGAACTTTTTCTTTTAGGCCCACCCAAAGAGATAGTTAAGTTCGGTACATGAAAGGTTTGAGATGGGCCAAGGCGATTGTTTTTTGTCTTTGCTGTGTCTAAGCCCTCGGACGATGTGAGGATGGCTGGATGAACTATGAAAAGAGCTGTTACCGCAGCTTGTCAGATCCTCTTCTTTCTTGGAAGAAAGCAAGGGATGTTTGTCGAAAAGGAAATAACACCAGTACGCATGGAGACCTTGTTACAGTGAATAATCGGTGAGTATTTATATTTAATCAAAACTACAACAAATTCTCGAACATGATTGGTTATCACCAGCCCGATTTGAGCGCTAATAAAACAATGTTTGCGTCATGCTTGTAATTAGACTCGTGATGATGGTGGCTTATCATCTGTTGCCCATTTACACCTCGTCAGTTAAAAAGGCAGCTAATTAGTGAGCATATTAAAATACCCCTTGTCGCAGCAATTTGATCACCCCTGATGAAGGCACTAGACAGGAGTGTCGAAACGTTGGGTCTATGAATTGTAACTTCTCGGTCACATTCATTTAATCTTTAAACCAAAGTAGCATCATACTATGTCTGAGTCAAAGGGACAGTTAACACGTCAGGCCTTGTAACTGTGAACAGAACGCGTCATGTGCGCGCGCTGTTGACTCGCATTTCTCCGAGTTAACTGTAAGTTTTTTTTTATGAAAACGTACAACTGATGTCCAGCTTCTTTCTCAAATTTTGTTATAGTTTTGATTAATTGATAACAGGACTTCGTGTTGTCCAATTCTGTCTGCAATCATACTCGTAATTAACAAATCGAACTCCCGCTTCGCGGTCGTCCGATTTTGTCAATCACTCGTATGATTACAGACCGAATTGGACTCCTCTTGGTCCTAGTACCATTATTAATCTTACAAGTTACGCGTTTATACCCCAGCTCTAGTCTGAGCCTTCTACGGTTGGGTATTTTAGCTCGTCTCTATCCTCTTTTATGTTGACAACCTACTGGTAATGCAGTGTTTTGTTTTGTTTCGTGATGAGGTGTGCTCGAGGCTTGTCGGGTAATGTTCTTATGATAATCTGTCACATCTGTGCAATCTTTTCTGAAGGTAGAATACAACTTTACTTCCTGAAATCGGTTTGCTGTCACGTCGTCCTAGAGTCCTAATTGGTACCCACAGATATTGTGATTGTCTAATAGGAAAAATTGCTTCCATATCCTCTTATCCAGAGATGAATTTGTACCTGGCTGATCAAGATTGAGCAAGATTCGTTCAGACATTTCTTTGTTTCCTTCAGTTCAACTAAAAAAAAAATAGAAATATCAGTTAATCAAAGAATTGGCGTTTGATAAAAACGAAACCGTTTTAAACCACTTTGACTCATATTGCTTTCTCCGAGGCTGGCATGCTCTTTGGTTTGTTTTCAAACTTTCAGGCATTTTTAAAGATGCTGATTAGAGATGAAATAATTTCATTTTCCCTTAAGTGGGTGCTCGTTCCAACTAAGACTAAGCAGTTGTTGAGTCCAAACAAATTGGAAGACGAGTTTATTAACCGAAACTAAATCGAACTAAAAGAGGTTATGGCTTTTCATTTTCCAGGCGAGAACAGGCATTCTTGAATACTATCGTTCGAGAAAACAGCACTTATTTTTGGATTGGCCTTTATGGCTTGATATGGGAGGATACATTCCTTCGGACAGATAATAGTCATCGTAGATACACCAACTGGAATGTCAATGAACCCTCAAAACATAACCAGTCCATGGAATGCGTACTCATGAATCCTCATAAAGATGAAGGAAGATGGAGGACTGCGTCATGTAGTCAGAGGAACGGGTTTATCTGTGAGATAGGTTTGTTAAGAAGAAAATGATTTTATAAACTGGCTATAAAGTACACAACCATCGAGAAAAAAATGTTCACTCAAAATAAGTTAATTTAAAGATGTCAAATTAACGTAGGAAAAGAGGGAAATCTGACTTCCACGAACCCAACGCCTTCCGATGACAGGTCATCTTCAAGCTTTGAAAAAAAATCATCGGTGTAATAGGCATTGTGAAACGTTGGGGTCATAGGTGACATATGTCCTAGGTTCTAACAGGATCAGCCTCTGTAAGTGCGTCCTGTGGGCAAAGGAGGCACGTATGGTATGTCACATTAGGGCACTTTTTGATTGAGTGTTGTGTAATCAAAACCAAAGCAATCTCAACAGCCAAACTGACAAAGGAAGAAAAATATCACGGGGAGGCATATAATGCAAACTCGAAATAAAAACAAGCAAACTTCATGAAGCGCGGGAAAACGAGGGTGATCAAGTCGCAATTGATTTTAGTTTTGAATATGATTGGGGTAGCAGATGACCAGTTTTGGTATTTGAACAGAGACATGCTTGTTTCGTTTTATTGTAATTTTTTGGGCTTTTCTTCATACAAATCCCTATGTTGTGAAAAATGTTTAGTGAAGGGGGTTGATGGAAATGACTGTTAAAGATGTAGTCCGGCCACATGACCAACATTAATAGTAGTTTGAATAATATAAGTTTATGATCGAGTGATAAAATGTAAATAATGGATAACCATAAAAACAACTACATATGCATAGAAAATAAGGAAATGTGTGAATTAGGTTAAGAGATGTACAGAGTTTGTTAGCTTATACTCTCTCTCCGTGTATGCTTTTTCAATTCCTGATGAAATTATTTGTCTAGGTTGTATTTTCAAGAATAATCACTTAATTAATGCCATTTAGCTCACTCGCATATACTGAGGGTTTTTCTTTGTATTTCACAGAGGCTCTTCCCATTCTTCCAAATCTTTCAACTCTTCCAACTCTTTCAACTTATGACCAACAGCCTGGTGAGCTTTTTTAATGTTTTCCAACTAACCCTCCTAACGATGATTTAATTGAAAGTTGAATTTAACCGTTACCGTTGAATTTTTTCTTTTGTTTGTTTGTTTGTTGGTTCGTAACTTCGTAACTTGGCGCACATCTTGGAACATAATGACTTGCAACTTGCGATTGCAACCTAAACTTGCATGGCATCACTTGGTGCCTTACAATGATAACATAGAAACTTGCAATGGTAACTTAGTAAACTGCAAAGGTAATCTAGTAACTTACCATGGTATTTTAGTATCATGTCATTCGCAATGGCAATTGAGAACTTTGAAATGGCAATTTAGAAATTTGCTATCTTATTTTAATACCTTTTCACGGTATTTTAGTGACTTGCAATAGCAACTTGGCAATTTGCAATAGCAATTGAAATGGCAATTTAGGAATTTGCCATCTTATTTTAGTAACTTGCAGTGGTAATTTAGTAACTTGCAATAGTAATTTGATAACTTGCCATGGTATTTCAGTATCTTACAATAGCAACTGAGCAATTTGCAGTATCAATTTAGTAGTTTGCAAAGGTAATTTAAGAATCTGCCTTTATATTCCCGTACCTTGTAATGGCTATTCAATTTAATGGCGGGAATTTTAGTTTATCTTTACACTTACGTTTAAGATGCTTGTAAGGAAGTCGGATGACCAGACAATTTAGTTCCCTGACGGGGCACTCGACCGCTCGTCAAAAAGGACGAGGACTCTGCGAACGACATCACAACCTTCAGGACAATTTATAGGAACTACTTATCTTTAAACCTCATCTTCTAAAATTAAGTTAGTGTTTTTTCTTTTTCAGTATGGCTGTTTTAGTTAAGTCGTAGCCGAAACTCAGCCACACATTACTGGCGAGTTATGAAATGCGAGACAGTGATTTTGCAGTTTCTTTCAAAAATGCTTTTCAGCCCGTGAATTTCGTAAACGGGTCACCGGGTCAGGTTCTTTGTTGAAGATTTCTTTAATATTTCCATCCATGGTAAAGCAGTTGCGCATGGTCACTGAATTTTCTGAGATATCCGTGGCGACAATTGAAAATGGAGATAAAAAAGATCAAATTTTGATGAAAAGTAAATAATGTGGATACATGTATATTCCATTAAAATGTTGATATACGGCTAAAAAGTTGCGTTATACAAAAAATGCAAAATAGAAAGAAAAAAAGATTTGTTGTCTATAATAACAGGAAATCCTTTGTCAAATGAGAAGGTTAAGACTTTGCCAGAGAATCTCCTAGGAATACTTTTCGAGGATAAAACATCTCAGCACAACATTAGCAGCAAGAATTCATCCTTCCCTGGTAGAAGCCATTTCAGCCATTTCAGCCATATTTCACGCCAAATGCTGTGGCGAGATATTCGGATAAAAATTTATAAGCAGTCATCGATTCTAATGGTACTTGTGACATCAAAAGGTTTGTATGTACACTACAAGTTGCCCAACTCGTGAACTTTGACATATTCATCTAGTACATCATTTGAGAAGTTTGTTATTTTTGCACCGTGAACCTGTGATATTTGTGTTTTATTTCCAGGTCGTCAGTCCTCCGTATTGGGGAATGTAGAAGAGAATTAGATGTAATAGGTAATTTGGTATGGAGAAGGAAAGGTTTGAATTGTGTATGGTCAGTTTATTCGTCATGGACTGTCACAGACATCTCTTTATGAATTCTCACCTCTGTGAGATATGATTAGTTTCGTTACTCATTCTCGGTTAGCTTACGCAAGCGATCTGCCATCTCCCCAAAAGATCGTGGACAAAACTACGCATAGGCAAAGTATGAGAGACTTTAAGAAAGCAACGACGGTGACGATAATGAGTAGGTGACGAAATATAAGATTTCCTGAATTTGAAAAATCGCTCAGCGCGCGCGTTTAAATACTTTGTAAATATCCGCTTGGTCGTCGTTTACAAAACAACATTATGAAAGCTCCAAAATTTTGCGTAGTCTGAGAGTGGGAGCCCCTTGGGCAAATTATCCACGTTTCTGCTTCGAACTCTACACTCCCCTCTCACGTTTTGCTGACAGAAAAGATCTGGCGCCGTTTAGGACAGCAAACATATCATGCGCTACTCGAAAAATACTTAGGAAAAAGGGAAGTTTTTTTTTGTTATCCCAGGCATAGCTGTCGTGACTCCCTAATTAAATCTGTGGCAGAACGTATGTAGAAAATTTATTTAAACACATCATCAATTACATTACGTTGACGAAATAGGGCAACAATTTCTATACCCATGCTTGAAGTGCAATCACAAATGAACACATCACAGAAAGGTCTAAGGTATACCATGTCGATTTCAAGTCTCTGATGAAGTTCACGACCCTTGTTTTAAATCCTCTGAAATAACCTTGATTAGTGAATATTGATAAGGCTAATAAGATCAGGGATTATTATGCAGGGGTCCATTCAACGAGGAACCCCAACAACACAAATACTGATCCTTTTGATATTTAGATGATTCGCTGGGTGCGCCTTTAGAGGCCTGAGTTTTAAATTTTCAGGTCATTCCAATCACAAATCAATGTCACGGCTCTAGTGTGCATGCTTGCTTACAAGAGTTTTTACATTTAAGCTTCAAGGAATCATTGAAAATCATATGAAAACATTGTGCATAAGCGATAACATTTCCTTATGCCTTTTAAATGATTTTCGCGTGCCTTTTACTTGCACATAAAACTTGTACAATATAGGTGTGAAAATCGAATTTAGACTTCGCCTAGATTTTACCATTACAAGAGCCTGAGTACGTGCAGATATGCGTCTAGGTTTTTTTAAGACTTCCGGTTGTCTATCATTCGGAAAGCTTTTCTTTGTGTGAGAAAATAAATGTCATTCTTTTTGTGACTCTGGCGAACCCTCCTCATTATCAAACGGAAGTGACGCTTTTATTCAATCAGTACTTATAACTTGTTAATATCAGTTTCCTGCCTTTTATGTTGGCGTTCTGGTGTTCTCGGTATCGGAAACTTGTTTTGCTGAGTTATGCATTTTGTTTAGTTGAAACAATTAAGCTAGTTATGCATTTTGTTCAGTTGTGCCTTTTAAGTAAGTTTGACTGTTTGAACTACTTCAGCCAATTAAGATAGATTGTGAAATTTGTGAAGTTAAACTGTTCTCGCTGAAGTTTTGGTTTCGGTTTGACACGCTGCTGTTCCCACGGACGCATTCAGTAGCGTGCAAACTTGACTGACTCTGCTATCCGCTTGTTCCTTTGTTTTTTTTTTTTATTATTATTATTATTATTAGTTAGTTGTTCAACGTTACCAGACGACGACCACCAAATTATGCTCGACTTTTTTTTTCAGAGTGATTGAATATATATTTATTTTTAACCGCAGAATATGACATCTGCGGCCTACAGAAACTTCGACATGACTTATATCAGTTTGCCGAATATAAGACGAGAGCCGAAATACTGTATGTGCTAAAAACAACGTTCTCAGCATGATCAGAAAAACAGGTCATAGATATCCATTTTAAACTCTCCCTTTTAAATTTTTTATCAAACATACCACTTTCCTCCCATTTCTTGACTTGTACCAAATAGTATTTCGCACAAAACACCGAGGCTTCAAAGACAGAACAGCCCATCTCGCCACAATGTAGAAGTTGTATTTGCGTGCCAATAATAAAAGCTGATTTTTTTTTTTAGTAATATATCGTGATTATTATAAGTAAGAATCGTTGGGACCTTGTTCACTACTGACTGTCTGCAAGTTTTGACTTTTATGTAACCTCGATGTTTTGATTGTGGTATGACTCTGTGCGTGATCTAGCGATGACTTTCAAATAATGACATTATCTTTGACCTTAAGGGCTTGGAAATCAGTCTGAGTAGGAAATCCGCTGGCTTCTGTAGCATCCGGTTGCTCCAAATTCTGTTCTGTTTGACAGTCAATCACCTCCTTTTCCTGAACGGGCTCAAGACGAAATTACAATTATAGCTGTTCAAGGAAGCTGTTCAAGAGATCACCCAAAGTAGGAGTATTTTCATCGTCATGATACTAAGTGCTCTCCTGTTCAAAGCGATTCTTGTTGCTGTCCTAGGCTTTCTGGATAATTGGCACGCAGATGCGTGTTCAGGTTGGTGTGAATCCACGTTCCTTCTTATCCGCTGTCAAGAATAAGGGTATTGTTGCTCTAAGTGTATCCTAGCCTTATTCGGGAGAAACTTTATAAAATCTCTCGTTATCTCTAAATCCAAATATTAAAGCAACTATAGTTTAGTCACTGAATTGAACATGAAATGTGTACGTACCTAGATGAAACAACATCAAGATATTTAGATTGACTGTGAATTGTTGCACGTTAATTAATGATCATAAACAAGAATAAGTCCATCATGGCCATTCAGGTAGCCCATTAAAAAAGAATTCGCCTTACTTGCCTGGCAGCAAGGCCATCATATCATCATATCATACCCATGATATCGAAAAAGAGTAGATAATGGTCCAAGTTTCTTCTTTGTCGCATTTGTAGGAATTCCAGGTTCAAAATAAAAATCCGGATACGCGGCATGTTTAGTAATTTTAACTCTTCCTATTCAAGCGGAAATCGACTGCATTCTGCATTTAAATTGGTTTCATTCAAAAGACTCACACCATTTTCGCCAAACTTTGTGCCTTTTAGTCAAGAGGAGTTTATGAAGACGGGGATTTACGATCTTCCAAAAGAAAAGTATGAAATCAACAGCTAACAACTATTATTTCCATAAATGATAACGTCCTTGTGATAGCAACTATTTTGTTTACCGAGGAGTCTGGAAGTCTTAAGGACTGCAAAACAAACTCGATGATGTAAACGTATATCATTATCAATTTGTGCTTTGTGTCGCCAAAAAAAGCTTCCGATATTGTCTCTTTCTCTGCAATTTTAATGTACGGCTTAGATGTATAGGGTGTGTACGATGGGATTTTCTAGTTACGTCGAATAAATTCACGTTTATTTTTGTAAACAAATTTGACTCCACTGAACAATTACCCCAGTGTTGTAGGCGAACATGAAACTGAAAGATTCTTTCTGTATTTATTAACATATATTTTGATTATTAAGTTCTAGGTTCGCATCCTAAGCTTTAAAGAAAACAAATTCTCTGAAAAGGCAGGGGTGGTGAAAGGCAAAATCCAAAACTCCTAATTAGACCGTCAACAAAGTTTCATTCATTTAAATGGGACTATGATTTTCAGGGTAATTTAGTGTTATCAACTGAGTTGATAATGTGAATTGGCCACCGTGAAGAGTTTAAAGGCTGACGTTTCGAGCGTTAGCCCTTCGTCAGAGCGATTGACGCTATACTCTCCCACCGACGCAGCACTATAGTTTCTTTAGCAATTAACCCCCTTTATTCATTTGAAATCAGCTCGTTAGCCGAGAGGAGTTCCAGCCACGAACTCATTAAGAGACGATTTTTAGAGATATATATTCTAATGAAGCATAAATCAAATAATTTCACTCAGATAGTGAGCTGGTTCCATCTCGTGAAATAAGTTCAAGTCAGGTATCATCGACTTTTTGATAGCTTTTGTTAGATTTTTTGCTTACCCTGTAGGCTCTCATTGGCCAAATCATCGCTGTATTCAAAAATTGATCAGGTACATGGAATAAAGATTGATATAACGTGAATTTAGATTATTAACGTACAACACCAGGACTTACGAATTTTCTTTCATTGGAAAACTGGAATTGACAGAAGTGGAAAAATCATCATACAGGGCAGGTTACCGGTGTTTATGGAAGTATGTGAACTTCATAACGTATATTCTGAAATGTGACCTGTCAGTCAGTATATAATTATGATAGTATTGGCGATGGAAAGTGACGCAGTCAGCTGATGGATGCGTCACAGTTATGTCAGGGTTTCCGCGTTTGCTCGCCTGATGAGGGAGCCGTTAGTAAGAACACTGAATTTAGTATGTAAGCATTAATATTGCAATTGCGGGTGTTCGAGTAATGTGAATCTTAGTGATGGATCAGGAAGGGCATCTTTGGTATTTCGGGTTGAACTCACAAAAATTTTGCTGCTTTTTCAGTTCCTAACATTCGTGAAAAGGAAGGAAACGAGATAAAAGTCATCGAGGTGACCAGCGGAGAGGATGTTAAACTCACTTGCCAGATCAGAACCGTTGGTCAGACCTCAAAACCAAGGTATTACTGGCTCAAAGACAATCAGACGCTCAGTCCATCGAGTCATCAACGTCTGAGGTTAAAACTCTACAGATACCTAAAGATAAAAAGAGCCAAGAAAGAGGACGCCGGCTTCTACACCTGTGTCGCAGTAAATGACTGTGGCAAGAACCCTTTTACAATGCACCTATTTGTCGGAAGTAAGTAAACATTTGCGACCATTTGAGTTGTTTTAAAAATACAAGTACGCATGTGATTTATAGCGGTATCCTGGGAAGCAAAGTTCTTTTATACTAGTTGTGTGCGACAAACTGAGGTGATGTCAGTTTAAGTAGGAGTTGCTGAGGTAGGCAAATAAGGAGGGAAAAGATGGTAATTTCATACTTGCCATCACAAAAAGTTATTTCTGACGAAGGTGCAATGTTTCCTTTACCATTGCTTAAAGTATTTAACTGAGACAGCTGGGAGTTCAAAATCCTGTCAGGACGTGAATAGAAAGATTCAGATGTGTGTGCCCTCAGATAATCTGCATCACAAAAGCATTTTCCATCTAGATAATTTCTTGTGTTTTTCTCTTTAAGGTCCAACACTGAATCCCAACAAAATTACAGTAGGAGGTAAGACAGATGTGCTTTCATTTCTAATCGGAAGAAATTAGTGAAAGATGAATATAGAAGCAGTTTAGATGATACAGGAGCCGATATTGATGTTCTTTGAAATAGAGAAAAGCAACCTTCCTCTGGAAGACAGTCTCAATGGGGTGATGGCTTTTACGGCTAACGTAACGTTACGGCTAAATTTTTGGCTGTTGTAAGGCTGTCGGATAACTCCATTAACACCCTCCGAGAAGAAAACTGATGATGAAAAAAAATTATCAAGAAATTATAATCTCTTGAAAAAAAATTGATGAAGTGTTGAAGCTCATCTACAAAGCCCATCAAATGAATCTTTCAAGTTAAGATTTTGTAAATCCGATCAAAAAAATTATATTTTGGCAATCGCATATGTTATCCAGTAAATTTCACAATTTTTCTACGCTTTGTGCGTTAAACATTGACTCGGGAGCTGAGACGGCCAAGATCTGATTGTTAATTCTCCCCTTTAACTGCTACACGCATTTCCTTATAAATGCTGGAGGAACGAAAATTTGGTGTTAGTTACTTCTAAGTGATAAGTTTGATTATTCTCATTATCTGTTTGCTGGATAATGTATGGATATTATACTAGGAGAAATTACATGTTGGTCACTTGTGGGAGTTAAAGGGCAAACGGGTTATGGGTCAGAGTGACGTGTTACAGTGAAACCTCGATTCAACGAAATGCCAAAGGACCGGGGAAATTGGTTCGTTACATCGAGGGTTCGTCATATCGAAAACCTCAATTTAACAAATTTGCGGAAAAACAACCAAAATGTTCGTTATGTCGTGGCATGGTTAACAATTGCTTTCTTTTTCTTCTTTCTTTTTTTTTTTTTAGGAGTGAGGTACCACAGGAATCGGAGCAATTACTGTAAATTATATTACTGAATTATTATATTATATTACTGAATTATTTTAAATTATTTTTAAAAACATTTTTTATCTAAACTAGTGAGCAGCACTCTGCGAACAGTGGTTGTAAAACTTTTTAATTCTCCGACGCGTTTCGTCTAACTGTCGTAGACTTGAGGGAGTTTTACAAGTTAACACGAAACGCCTGTATTTATAAACCATAGTCAGCGGCTTTTACTGGGGCCAATGACCATATAGGCTTGGCTGGACTTACGAACAGGAACAGGCGAAGTTGTGAACAATTTTGAACACTTTTAAAGCAAGGTTAGAAAAATATGTAGGGGCCACGGTTTTAATTTAGTGTTAACTTGTTAAACTTCCTGAAGAAGTCCACGACAGTTAGACGAAACACGTCGGAGAGTTAAGAAGTTTTACAACTACTGTTCGCAGAGTGCTGCTCACTAGTTTAGATTCTTAAAAAATGTTTTAAAAATAATTCTTCACATAGACATTAAAGCAGTAATATAATTTACAGTAATTGCTCTGATTCCTGTGGTACCTCACTCCTCCAAAATATTTGAGGAAATTGCATTTGCGAACGATGTCAACGCGATGAGGCCCTTTCAATGCCGCCACAAATGTCGAAAAAAACGTAACTCTTAAAGAGATTCAATCAACACTTTATTCACAGAATACAGTTATCAATGTTACATGCATGGCTTCATTCAGTTACATTGCAATCAATAAATCCTTGCCGCAAACAGCAATATGGCTCAATCAGCATCAAGCAATCATGCCCTCTTGATTACCAATAGTGCCCACGTGATTAAGAAAAAAATACTCTCTGTCTCAGCAAATCTGCATTCAGTAATTTTGCCCCGCATGTGATAAAACTCTGAACTATCATCAAAAGATCAGTACTGTAGAACACTTAGAATAAAATAATGTTTAGACTCTAACTTGAAATGTGTTAGTAAGGGGTGGCTTCCGGGCAGTTGTCGAGAAGTTCAACGCTCAAATGCTGTGGCTGTTCTGCGCTTCACAGCTGCTCCAAGATTTACGGTACCGCAAAGCAAGATGAGGCGCAACCTTCTTCATGTACCCGTTGGAAACTCTGTTCGGATGGACTGTTCTGCCGATGGAAACCCTCGTCCTACCGTGAAATGGTATAAAGACGGAAAATTGTTTAAGGAAAGGAAACTTTATTCGAGTCGAAGGACAACCTTGTTGAGTCTGAAGGACTTGGTTCCCTCTGACGCTGGGTCATACATGTGTAATGTGAGCAACTCATACGGATGGATTAATCATACATACAAAGTATACGTTCATGGTAAGAGGAAAAATCCTTCAAATTTTTCTAGCTGACACAGACTCTGAAGAGTACTCACGGTTTTCTTTATCTGAGAAAAAGAATCTTCAAACTCTTGTGGTCAATATAAATCCCATTTAAAAAGTCAAATTAAAATAAACATTACAAGTAACGAAACAATGGATGTTTTTGGGTTACATTGACAGTATTGACAGTATTCTCTTTTCAATTTTTTAGAACGAGCTCGTGCTGAACCAGTCGTTCTACCCATGGAAAATGTCACAGTTTATCGAGGAGAGAATGCCAGCTTAACATGCAAAGCATTAAGTGATTCCATGCCTCATTTCCAGTGGCTAAGGTGGTTTCCTACAAGTTTCAACAGTTCGACAAACGGTCCAATTGAAAGTCCTCACTACGAAATCGTGAATAAAGAAGATGCAGACCAACATGTAATTATACCATCAAGTGGTGGCAAAAAGTTTGATTTCCACGGAGTGAAGTTGACTTTGTTAAATGTCACAAAGAGGGACGAAGGCAAATACACTTGCATTGTGGGAAATGCTGTTGGTTACGTATCCGAACATGCTTACATCATTGTCCAAAACATTGGTAGGTAAAACTATAATAAGATTACTAGTTCTTATTAATTTTTGTTATCATTCACTTTATTATGATCAGATTTTAGGGGCTTTCTGTGATGTGCTCATAGCAGCTGTTTTTCTTATCACATTTTGACGTCATCTGTCCTATGTTACTGAACAGACGCACGGCAACATGGAATTTATTTGTTAACCCTTTAACCCCTAAGAGTGACTAGCATCTAATTTCTCCTTATAATATCACCCTTGAATCAAACATGAAGGTGATGAGAATAGAGGAAATGATCACCAACTAAAGCAGCTCTTGATTATCAAACAAATTCTCTATGTCAGCACCTTAGGAAATGTATAGTGATTAGTATGGAGAATGTGGATACTAATGTCAGGGGGTAAAGGGTGAATCCATTGGGTGTAATTCATTTTCCGTGAAGCCCTTGTAAACAGCTTTCTTTTCTTGAGAGTCCCCTTCGTCTCGGGAATCACGGAGGGTCGATTTTTGCACGACTACGTGTTGTGTTTGCTCGAAAGAGCTAGCGCCACTAAGCGGCTTAGGTTTGATTTGGGTTTACAGCACTCAGTTACAATGTTTGTATCGTGACTCACTTGGATGTTAATAAATCAAACGCGGGCCAACTGAAAAAAGTGACTGCTTTATGATAGCGGATCATTTACTGAAAATTGTTTCCAACCGAGCATAACTTATTTTTTTCACTTTTTTAATTCGTGAAGATAAAGCAAAACCAAATGAAGCTCAGCGAACTGAAAGCACCACAGATGGTAAGTGTAGCCGTGAAAGACGGACATGATTCATTTTTTAAAATAACATTTGTAATTTTCTCTATCTCAGAAAAAAAAGAAGCACGATCTTTCACATTTCTGGTACGTATCTAAACGACCGGTTATTATTCGTCGTCCTGGGAAGGGGGGGGGAGGCACCCTGGGGAGGGGGGCTTCCTGGAAAGGGGGGGCTTGGAGGATTTTGTCTGCGTCACGATAAAATTCACCTGATTCCCTCTCATTGGCAGTTAATTAGCAGTCAATTTTTGTAGTCCCCCCCCTTTGTACTTTGGCGACGAATGCTGCCCCTCTGTTCCCCCTGAAAACCATGTGATCCACCCTCAAAATCCTCTACCCCTAGCTCCAGGCTATAAATTATGAATGGTCGCCGAGTGTCACAATTGTTAAGCATGCACACGCCACGTGGTACACCACGTGCGCACTAAATATAAGAAAAGCTCATGAAAATCTTGACTGATGGTTGCTGCAAATAAGGATGACCATATTTTCGTTGGATAAACCTTTGTATTTGTGGATCTCTTCCTTTCATGATTCTCTCCATCTTGCCGAGCAAATGAAACACTGAAATGCGATATAACATGTATCAAGAAGCCTTCTAAACGGAGCTTAATTCTGGCTTGAGGGAATGACTTTGTTATCAAACAGAATTATTGAAACGTTTTATTTCCTGTAAAAAACACACAACGCCTACCTCAAAGAATTTTTGAGGAATTTGTTGAAGGTTAAGTTCCCTAGTCGCATTTGGCAAAGACGAGCTCAATACCAGTCGAAACCAGATTTTTTACCCTTCTTTGTTACGACGACTTCAATTACTAATAACCTGTAGATATTCATTCGCTACTTGCTGTTTCGTCACCCTCAGATCAAACCAACTACTTACTATTTGTAGTCAGATCCCTTTACGCGGAACTACCTACTGAAATTTGTCTCGCTTCGTAGCTCAATAGGTATTACCGCTCATTTGATATTTGAGAGTAGGTCTGTCCTGATTGTGTTCAGCAACATTTGAGCAACTTTTGGCGTTTGGAGTAACTTTTTGCGGTTGTAGCAACCTCGAGGAATTCTCGCCTTTCTCGACAATTTTTGAGCAAAATATAAGTTTAGAGCACATATAAAGGACGAAAAAGTCAACGATTTCATAGAAAACTTCAATTTACACGAATTTCATGAATTGTTTGTTAACCTTTTGAACACATAACTTGTCACGTGACAACATTTGGCAGGCCTATTGAGATCCTTATCTAAGATTTTAACAGATAATCGGCTAAAATGACTTTCGGTAAGACGTCAAATGAACCATGTGTTTTGTTCCGTTTAACTAAAGAGTATTCTTAAATTTCGCCCATATTTGCGAGCAACCCTTTAAAGCTGAGTTTCTTGACCTGTGTTGTTAGTAATTATTGTGAAGGCGAAAAATAAGGCTATAAATTAACATTTATATATAGATATCAACAAATTTTAAGTAGCAACTTTTTGGAATTTTGGCAAGTTTTAAGCATCTTTTGTAGTGCTGAGGAAAAGGAGGGAATTCACTCAAGATGGAGAGATAAATATGTTTGATTTATTCTTGTGTAGGTTCTACTGTTAGCCTGACATCCATCAGTTCTGAAAGTGAAGCAGTTACGCAGACGTCAATGGGTTGGACTGATAGAATAAGGTACCCGGCGGCTGTAATCGCAGTTTCAGTGGGCGTGGTCGTTATGTTGATCATAGCTTCCAGTCTCTGTTATTGGCAGGTGAAGAAAGGCCGAGCGAGCTCGTCCGCAACGATGAAAAGCCGACACAACATCGATTCACTTCAAGTGAAGTACGTAGTCCAGTCAAATGAGTACGTAATAGTGCCAGACCTAAAAGGACACGGGAATGATTTTGGCACTAACTGATTGTACGAAGAGTAGTTATCACTTTGTTCCATCTATTTGAAAATCGCATAATACAGTCGCTCAAATATAGATTATTTCAGTCTCTACAAACATTTTATTGATTCAGTGATGAGCTGGTTTGGAAAAAGTTGTAAAAGCTGTCTTTCATTTTCCTTGCGATTTGATAGATTTCTTTAAATAAGCCTTGAATGGTTGATGTGTTTTAATAAAGTTGTCTCATTGGCTTGGAAAAAGATGCGATTTAGAGCATAAAGTGGTGCGATTCGTGGATAAATCGCACGATTAGAGCCTGTCAGATTGCAAGGATCACAACGGATTTCAAAATGGATGTAACAAACATAGTAAATTAACCATGAGCAGAATTTCAGTTTAGCAGAATAAATGAATAAAACCGCATACCCTCAAAGAAACACAAGAGGGTTTGTCAGGCTTTGTTCAAATTCAATTCTTCAGTTCAGTTTCGATTAGTTTTTTTCTACAACCGTCGAAGGGAAAGGATCAACGTTTTAGTTGTTAGAACCAGTTTCCTTACCGAAGGGACCGCTCTTTTCTGCAGCATGTTTGGTCTCGTCACGCAAAGATGGACGGCTTCAAGGAGATGTTAGTAGGAAACGGTTCTCACACCTTAAGTGTTTTTCTTTGACTTATTTCCTCGTGCGTTTCAATTTCAATAAATAAAGTACCTTGTGGGTTTGAAACAAGAAACGTCATGATGTGAATCGTTAATAAAAAAAAAAAGGGCAAAGGGAAATGGTACAAGGCCAAAGGGCTTGAGCGACAAAAGGGTTAATAGAAGGAAACATTAAGGGAGGAGAGGAAGGAGTGGGAACATGGGTCGGGGGAGTGGAGCTGGACCAGGTTTTACCTCAGTGTCCCTCATTCGTATCAGCCTTATTTTGAAGGTCGTGCTCCAAATTTAACTTTCAAAGTATGCAACTTTGCATTTATTCTCCTGGCTTCTTTTACACTGAGTAATTTTCAAGCTTCAGACTTCTCTTCCCGCCGGCAGCTTTGCAACAACTTCTACAAGGTACTTTTTATGTCAAACAAAGCTTGTTTTAATAATTTTAAATTTCAAGTGCAAATCGTCATTAAGGTGGGCACACTTCTGTAATTAATCATAGGAAACGTGAGTAGAATTTGTCCCAAAGGAAATTGGATTAAACTACAGGAAGTGGTTATTGCATTATCTTCAGTGAGATACATCGTTCCTCTCAGGGCACACAATTGCTATTTATGTATCCGGCCTGTTTTGGACTCTGTTTGCTTAACTTTTGGCGAATGTAACAAATAATCTAGATTTTAAAAGGCGAAAAAAATCTGTATTCAAATAATAATCAATAAACTGTTGGGGCGTTCCAATTAGACGATTTTGGCACCCGGGCTGTCACAAAAATACTCTTTGCACTTTTTGTGCTCTCGCTATGTAACAAGAATGGGCTTCTGACAAGAACCAATGAAATTCAAGAGATTTTATCAATAATCCGACTCTAATAATCTGAAAAAGCTGGGCTTACATAGCTGGTAATTTGCACTTATGGTGCATTTAAGATTAAGCCTTTTTTTTCAATCAAGTTTTACGCATTTCGTCAATGTCCTTGCTCAAAAATAAAGGGGCTTATGTAGTGTTTACTTGTAATTGTAGTCGTAATACGAATTTTTCTCAGCCACATAGTCTTCGCTGTTTCCTGTCGCTGCTCCAGTTGTATTCAAGATCACAACTGGATTAGCGACTAAAAACAGCCGCCAGAGATTAGGAAGCGCTCTAGCTGATCGTGCCATAGGCTGCAACTCGAAGTTCCGTCAACACGAGTCTTTGTCGCTCGTGCGGCAGAGCTTGGTGAGACTTTGACTGCAGGTTTTTTAGTCACAACATCTAGATCTAGCTATATTATATGCTGATCGTTTTGATTGCGTTACAAAGGTCAACTGTATTTGATGCACCAATCATAGCTGAGATACATCCATTGAGAGGTGCGTGGTCGAAACATTTCTTTCAATAGCTATCAAGGAAAAAATAAGTTGACATTTCTCTGGAGGTAACTATGCGGGGGTGATTTTGAAACTTCCACAGATCATCAACGATTAGCTGTTGTTGGTTACTACAGGAAATCGATGGCCTTGTCTCCGAGCGAGAAGTAATAACTGCATCTGTATGAAGGGGTGTATGAACAGGAAGAGAGATCAAATCATTAACCTAAATTGCAGGAAGCCTTTTAACGCGTTCAGCCATTGGTGCTTCGTTCCATAAAGTTTATAAAATTCATCGATGATGCCCTAGAGTGGTTTTGCCAGATGCTTTATGGCATACACTCACATTTGTCGACATATCATTTCATTTCATAATTTCACCTGGAGCATGCGAAAAAATATTTACCGACCACAACAAGTGCGGTGAATGAAATTTGCTGTTATATTCTGTTTGCTACTTATATCTTGACAAATTTACATCCTGAAATAATTATTACCAAAACAATAATTTCTCTATTCAACTTGAAAACATAAAAAAAATTGGAAAATCATGAAAAAAAAAATTCTGCTGGACATTTAGATGTTCCTGGAGTGTTCAGTTAGTTTGAATCTTTTAAAATAAATAAAAGGGACAATTCTTTATTTATTCATTCATTACGATGGTCTTTTTGTACTATCAAGTACCAGCTGCTTATAGCTCCAATGCGAGCTCAAAAATAATTAAATGCTCTTTGGTGTTAATTTATGTCAGATTTTTCGGAGAAATGGTCGCTACGTGTATTTAAAAGTGTTAAGAACAAAAATTGGAAAATGTGCCCCATTTAACGCATGCATTAGTCTAATTTTCGGTTTTAATAAGTCTCTTTGATTTTCGAGCGGAAGTTTTGTAATAAATATATCAGTATTCTGGTCTCGTGTTGACAAGTCATGAATTACTGTCAAAAGTTAATTTCAATGTTGTCGTGTATTCACCCAAGCGTGTCCATGTAATTTCCACGCGCTCGCCGTCATGGGCTTCTGGCGAAACTTCATTTATTTCAAGGTTTTTGGCGTGAAACCCCGAACAATTTGAACTCTCAGGATTTCTGCAGCTCGACAGAAACACCATCTTCCTCGGGATCTAGAGCTTCATGCGTTAACAACTGAACAAGCGAGTGGAAGGAATTTTTAATATTGAATGCACGCCACAATCTATCCGGCGCCTGTTGAAAACGAAATGACTTTAACTTCTCGTTAAGACCAACAAGACCACTTCTACAACTTCCTATTTACGCAAGGTAAGGAGAAAGAAATTATTGAGAATACAGTGTTGTTTTTATCTCATTTTCTGAACGTTTGTGCTCATTACAAAGTCAAACCTTGTCTCGACGGTCAAACAATCGTCCGGATACTCGACGGAGCAGAAGAATGAATAATTTCTTAATTCGTTTTTCCGCACGTAGTCTTGTGGTTAAGTCCTAGCACCTTCGATCTCTCTAGCAAAAACACTGTGTTAGTGCTTGACCGATGTAAGATGTTTTGACTTTCCTAACATCCTTATTTAATGTTCAATTCCCCTCCAGGGCTTGACGTCAAGGCGAAGGTAGCCAGCACGTTTTCTGATCTACTCGAGTAGAAGGCATATTTTACCGCTGGAAAATGGTTCTCGCATTTCGTCGCCGGAGTGGTTTTCTCACCGTCTTTATTCTTGCCGGAATTTCTGCGATTGAATCTCAACAATCTGGAGGTAGGTTTGTGTGGCAAACCTTACGTACATCTGTAGACTGTGTTTCTTTTGTGCGTTTTATGAATGCATTTTATCATCATAGAATTCAGACACTGAGACAGGTCATGCCGCTTAAGATTCTCAATGAAATGTTTGATGATGAGTAACGCGCCAAAGCAGAATTTAAATGTTATAAACGATGTACCCGTTTTAAGTCGAGTGAGATTCTCCACTGATAGTCAAATGTGTTCGAATCTTTCCAAAGAAAAGTGTTATAATTTTATGCGCAAAGTTTTGGTTCGTTTTTAAACCTTATCGGCTCTTTGTTGCGTCTCAAATTTTGTTATCGTACACCGGTAATTATAACCAAGCCGCCAACGTCTTTCTCGGCAGCAATAATATTTATTGAAAAAACTTAGACGTATATTTCCCAGCGTGATTCTGACAGTCATCCAACAGCGGGATCCTTAAAGGGAACTATCGAAAATGATTTCGATTACCCAATTTATTTATTTACACGGGTTAATGAAATATCCCTATAGAAAAACAATTTAATTTAAAAGTTTTAAAGAACGGCATAGTGGAAATTTAAGTTATTGTGCTTTTCTTTATCCAAAACTCTTGATTCTTCGCTACAATACTTCTTCGTGAACATTCGGTCAACAATGGGTTCGTTTGCAAAGCAGTACGTGAAATTTCAATGGCTTTGTTCAATATTGGTTTACAATACAAACGGGTTGTTGTTGAATTTTTACACTATGATGTAGCGGAGTAACCGGAAAGTTCGCACACAGATCAATTTGGAGGTACTGTCAGAATCCAAGGCTTTTTGGTACAAGTTGCATCTGAAAGAGCACGTACACATTATATTTTCACAACATGACCCCTAATTAAAACGCAGAAAAAGATACAAATAGCACACAAGCCGGAATTTCGCGGCAGTCATAATACATTTTTTGCTTTGATTTCAGCTCAATTTCCTAGTTTATTGCGATATTAGGAAACTGTTATATCATTCCGTCGCCGTTTCGTTCTAATTGTTTCGGCTAATTCGCGGTAGTGGCGAAAACAAAAAATTACAGGGATGCGATATTCAACGATCGATTGGTCGAGTGAAAAGCTTAGTTAGTCGTTCAATAATGGTAAATTTGCACTGTATTTTTTTTTATTTGAACAAAAAGTTAGCTCTCATCCCATGTGACGTTTCAAAAAAAGCTTTAGACCAGATCTTGCGGACGCCAGCAATCGAAGTTATCAAGAACTTTTTCAGCTGGATTATTTTTAGGAGGAAAATTTGCATATCTTCATCGAGCCCACTCTAAAATGATGCATGGTCATGATTTGCCTCTAGCTACAGAGAAAAACCACTCAACTTGCGGTCACTTTTATCTCGTGTTGTTCCATTAAGGTGGTTGAATCTTTATTCACAATAAATGATACAAGATCACAGCCTGCAACAAACGTACAAGGTATATAAATGTGTAAATAAATACTAAGAAAAGCCCTTTTATGAAAGCTCTCTTAAATCGGCCTTGTCCAACGTAAGTAGGAAAGTAATTATGGCCACCGTCACGTAATCTCCTTTTCTTTGCGGGGAAGAGCTGAAGTTCATGGAGGCTTAGATAGGGATCTTGGTGATCTTCTCCCGCAGTGGTAGTCATCCCTTTCATGTTTTACTTTTTATTTCCTTTCAAAAATTGAAGAATAACAAGTAAACGGACTGATTAAAAAATTGGTGTCGGTCCCTGTCTGTGAAGTAACAGAAGTGAAATGTTTATCTCAGCTTGTCTACTTACTACATTGAGCGAACTCACAGCAAAATTGGCCACTCAGGAACGTCATCATGCATTAGTGGAGGATCAGCGCGCATGTGCGTGTGCGTCCTCATCCATCCCCACCCCCCCCCCCCCTCTCCTCACCCCCCGCCAAAAATTGTAGTCAATGTAGTCAACAGGGCTCATGCCCAATCACAATTGTTCTTTCTAAGAGTAATCTTGTCAAAGTGGGT